TGTCAGTTTGTAAAAACTAAATGAAGGAATTATTCTATGAATATTTTCCCTACTGTGCTTCAGGGATCAGTTTTTCTCTCACTACTGTTCAATAGTGTATGATCAATAGTCTAGAATAAAGCTTCAGGAGCCATCCCTACGAAACCTAAAGGGAATAAAACCTCCTTCAGTGCTGTGCTGAACAGCAATGGGAACAGGCTGCTGCTTGGGCCTGCTGCCTACAGTGGTTTTTACCAAGCAATACTGCAAAGTCAGATACCACAGGGTGCACCTCATACTGGGGTGATGTGAGGAGTACAGTGATTTGATTGACAAGGTTAAATCTAGAAGCTAGAAGTCAGTGAACCCAAAAAAAAAAAAAAAAGTTCTGGTGGAAAATCAAGTAAGAATACCAAGCAGGATATAAAGCTTATTGACTATTCATATAATGTTAGTATGGTAATGACTGTAAGGACATGTTCTGTTCTGGCATCTACTCTTCAAAAGATAACATTTGGAAAATTAAAATTTGTTTAAAAACCTGACAACAAAAACTAGAGGGATGAAGAAAAAAAATTAAAAATTCATTCACATAAAGTAGGATTGGAAGGTATGATCATGGTATGTCAAATCCCTAGATCAGCACAAGATTTGCAGCAAAAGAACATCCTCCAAGAGAGCCGTACTGGAGTTCCACCAAAGCAAGATGAACTCAAACACAGGGCTGGGGATTGGTTTGGGTTTTTTCTGAGAGAAGAGTAGTTTCTCACGTACCTTTCTACAGAGGCAACTGATCCTTCTCCTGAAGTTCTCAAAGCAAGAATTCTTTTTTTCTAACAAATGCTGAACTTCTTGACATTCTGCTGCTGCTGCTGAAATCAGACTGAAGTTTTATGACTGGGATATCCAGATTAATAATCAGACGAGTTCCCCTTGCCTTTACAAATGGGAACTTGAGCCTGTAATGAAAACCTGTGTTTCAATTGCTGATTTACTTTCTACTGCTGGGAGCCCTTAGTCGGACACTGGTAGCACCCAGCTTTTAAGCAGGAATGGGTGCAGCTCCTCTCTTCCAAGCAGAAGAACTTGGCTCTGGTTGGACAAACCTCTGCTCACTTTCAGCAAGTTTGTACAAAGTAAAAACCCTGAAAATAATCCCGTATACTGCAGCCAATTCCCCACCAGAGGAGAAAGAGGAATTCTGTGTTCATAAGCATGTGCAAAGAGGGAGTGGGATGAGCAAATCAGCTGGATCTGGGGAATTCAATGCAGCTGTTTGCAGGAAGCAATCACTCTTCCAACAGACCCAGAGGTATATGCAAGAGAGAAGGAAAGAATATGGCTTCTAATTCTGTTATATGATCAATTGCTATTACTAACAGGAGACTCAAATAGCAGACTCAAACTTCTGAGGCAGTTGCTAATGAAACACTAATGGTGGATGAGCAGCCAGAGGGGAAAAAAGGCCCCTGGTGAAACCTGGCCAGCCCCACTTGCAGAGCCAGTGCAAAGGACAGTGGCTTCCCAAAAGCCATAGTGGTGACCTGGTGTTTTAGAGCACTCAGATGCTGCTGGTGGAATGAATTTGGCAGTGGATTTGTCATGGAAAAGATTCAAGCCAAAGAAATGATTCTTGCAAGTGGCAGAACCCTATGGATTAAGGCAGGAGACATTCAAAATCTTACATAAAGCACACAAATCTGGAACAGGTAACATACTTCAGAAGACTTGATTAGAAAAATAACTTAGGGATATACCCCAAAAATACATGCACAGGTGATTGATTACCTTTGCTTCAGCTATCAGTTATCTGATACTAATTCTCACTGTTTTATGAGAACTCTTGCAATAGATTGTGCAGGCTCACAATTCTACATTTAGCACCAAAAAATCCAGACATTCTGCAAAAAGGATGAGGCAAAGACTCTGGAAGAACGCATTTAATTCAGCTACAAGGAACAGGAAAATCACACTATATTTTTCACATATTTGTATTTTTAAATAAAAGGCCTGATACTGTTGTCCCCACGTAGGTAAATTCTTTTAGAATTTAAAGGTGCCTCACTCAAGACACCAGGACAAATCTGAAGAAGTGTTCAGATATTCTAAGATTGATACTAAATCTTCCAAACTGAACTAGCAACTGATAAAACAACTCTCTAACTTTGCTACTATGAGGAAACTTTTTAAAACCTTGAACTTCAGTGCAAGCTCAGAGCACTTGTTTTACAAGTGGAGCATCGCACTTGTGTGAAAAGCTGCTTGGTATAGTAACTCCAAGGCTTAGCTAATCAAGCCTAGCAGAAGAAAGAACCTAAATATGAATGTAAAAGAGCACACACATTCACCATGAAAAAAAGCAATAAAAACCCAGAAAGATTTGTGCAAGGAATCCTTGCAAAATAACTCCACTTGGTGTTTTAGTATCAAAGCACTGAAGAACAGCACCTTCCCAGTTACCCAACCCTTCTCCAGGGATTCTCACAACAGAAGAGTGAACTGTGCATTTTAGCTCATTCCTCATCATTTTGAGCATGCAAATGTCAAGAACTCCTGGAAAAGGCACTATATTAGGGAACCACAGGTATACCTGTAAGCACAAGCCCCCATGCAATGTGTACTATGCACCTGTGTATAGAGTATAAATATGCATACATGCATGTCAGGAAATTAGAAATATTTCTCCTTTTAATACAACCATGTTCAGCCTCAAACTGCAGCTCTCTGACGTGCTAAAGATTTTGGAAAACACAATATTTGTCCTTAAAACAAGGACAACTGAAGCCCCAGGCAGAGCTGCTGTGGTGCAGGGCCCCCCTAGGTGCCCCCAGGGAACCTGGCACCTTCCCTGCTGCCAGGGCTCTGGGAGGGACCCCCACCTCCTCAGGCTACCTGCAGGGAGGAGGGGAGGGAATGCACTGCAAAAGAAACAGCTGACACAGGGACACACAGGGAGTTTGAGATGCTCAAGAGGTGAGGAGGCAGCATCAGGCTCCCTTCCCCCAGCAGGGCTTTCCTCTACTGCCCAGGACCTGCAGCCACTGCTCCTCCCACATCACCACCCCTGCCATGGGCACATCCACCCTGCAGCTCCAGCACCTCGTCCTCCTCCACGGCAATGCGCTCCCAAGCCTTCCGTGACTCTCTCCTACCCCACTTCCTTCTGAACACCACAGACAGAGGGATCAGCTAGACCAAAACTTAAACCAGCACAAATGTGAAATAAAATGTAAAAAAAAAAGTCTTTTGCTCTCACTGGACATGCTGCAGACATTGTGCCTAGTAACTGTGGCAATATCTAGTGCAAAAGAAACTTAGCATGAATCTTTGTTTTCAAATGACATTCAACTCAAACATGCATAGGGAGAGTAAAGTTATTTTATTAAATCATGCACATCACGTGTGTTAGTGCAAATAGTTTAATCTGTACTCCAGAAATTCTATTGTATTTTTATATCTTTACAAAATAGATTTAAAACAATTAATTACTTAAAAAAATGTAATTCTGAAGTTAAGCATTTCAGAACAATATTTGCAATAACCTATATACAAGAGGTACTAAGTACCACTGGCATACGAGTGTTCTGTGGTTGGGTGGCTTCCTGCAACTGAAAAGGATGAAAAGGATGAAATGAATGAACTAAATGACAATAGTTATTTTCTACAAGTCACTTGTGGACTATTTTCTCCAACTAATCATCCTCCCATTAGCAAATCCCATGTAACTTAAGATAGAACCTTTAATTAAATGACAATGACCCTTAAAACCTCACAAAGTAAATTATATACTAAATTTCTATTTAAATATTTAAACTATCTGTCGATTGCCATAACATTCTTTAAAGCCAATTGAATTGCTGAGATGACCTCCCTATTTTGAAGTTTCCTTTAGCAGAGCCATATTATTTACTTTACCATTCTTTAACATATTATTTAAGTCTTTAATAAACTTTTTTGACAGAACTGTTGAGCTGAACAAGACAACTACTGTCTACATTTAATTCAGCACTAACGACAGTGATTCCCACCAAAAGTCAGCAAATAGCAATAGTTATAGTACTTAGATAAAGAAAATAAACTTTGTAATGGGGACCACTGCATCATACTTACAGCCATGTGATAAGGAGCCACAAAATTTTACTACCAAATTAAAATCATCTTCACCCGACAATGTTTCATCAGGTATATGATTCCAATTCCATAGTATTTTATGCATCTAGATTTTCTCAGCTATCACAGACGTACTGTAGCAGTTCTCTTAATAAAGTTACGTCCACAAAAGCTTATTCTAAAGAGCTTCTCCAGCTCAAGTCAGAAGGTATCAAATGACTGAAAAAATAAACTGATACATGTGATATGTGAGAAGGTATTCATACTTTTAAAGAATGTATCTCTTTAAATATATGAAATTTAATAAATTACATTCAAACTAAAGTTAACATAAGTTGAATCAATGCACTATGTCCATCATATGACCAAGTACTTGCTCCCAGAAACACCTTAGGTCACTCAAGAACACACACATGCTTGCACTCGCACACGCGCACACTAAATACTTTAGGCTGGTCTTCACCATCAGTATCTCTATCTCTTTAAGGCTGGACATGAATTGTGTTTATTCCCAAAACCCATTAATAAAGCAATCCTTATGGAAGAAAAATATGCTTCCTTCGAAAGGCGTAGTAAGAGAAGTTTTCTTAAGTCTTGTTCCCAACAGCTCAGTGACTAACAGCAAGTAAAATGATACACTAGTTTAAAAAAAAATAGATCATACTGAAAGGCACTGAGCACACTGCATCTGTTTCCCAAGTATCTGCAAGGTTACTTGGCTTGGATGTCCAAATCAGTATTTTCCTCTTAAGTCTAGCAATCAGATTCTAAAGTCAGTGTCCACGACCCTAGTCATTATAAATAATTTGGTACCAAGAAGCCTGCTTTAGGCCACCATTATAGTATTCAAAACCCCAACATACTAATTTAAAACTTGCATGAAGTTGTAAGCAAAAATATTGCTCACAGAATGATGAATCACAATTTTATTCCCTCTTTATAGACAGATACATTTTATACAGTTTAAAGCAAATGACCCTACTGCTGTTCTCACGCAGAGCTGTGCTGTATTAAGAGGTAAAAAGGAAGAGAATTAATCTGTTTTCCCTCAGTATATGAATGTTGCCAGCTTCTAAAGGGAGGACGGTGTATGGATTCAACAACAGTTCTCATGGAGAAGCTCTGGTTAGGCCTGGGTACAGCACCACGGCTGTTACAGCAACCAAAGCTGCCATCACAGGCATCCAAGGCCATTGTCTCTGTGTGGAGAGAAAAAAGAAATCAATATCATATTTGCTCTAATTCATACTAATCAGTTTACCTCGTGGTTCCTGCAAGTGCTGAGTAGCTGTTGATGGGCACCACTACAGCGTTACCCAGGAGCCCTGCTGCAGGCTAGCCCTGACCTGGAGCACCGCAGCGTTCCTCGAGCACAGGCAGCTCCACAGCTCTTCGCGCCTCAGGGCGGGCTGGAGGACCCTGGGCAGCTCCGTGCTTCCAGGTCTGTTACTGCACACACCTCACAGAAATCTGCCACCGAACGTGCCAAGGCTTGAGATGTTTGAAACATCGCTCATGCCAAGTCAAGGCTAGACAGAGGTTTATGCACATCTTTAACTTTTGACCGTTTAAATCCAGATCTGTGACTTCGTTTGTAGCAGATCCTAACAACACCGTTTTTAACAGACTGTCACAACATTGCATGACAACAATGGCATTTTAAGAGGAGGACACACTGAGAGACAAGAGAAAATGCAAGCTGAGAGTTCAGAATACAAACCAACCACCTATTTCTTGTCTTTTTTTCCCCATCTTTCCATCAGTAATAGTGAGAAAAATTAAAGTGTTTAGAGCCAGAGAGGAATTTCTTAGTCCATAGATAGGGACCAAAGCTTGTTGAATTTTATTATTAGAGGCAAACTCTTCATTTTTCACAGTTAATTAAGCAATTAAGTTTTCTTACAAGCCCTAGCATCGCAGCATTGTGCAAAAGGCAGCCCATTTGCTAAAGACAAACTGAGACCGAGTTAGAAGAGGCACGTTCAAGCACCAGTTAGAACAAAATCCGTTGTTAGAATTAAAGAAATCACGGAGATGTTAAATGATTAGTGGATTGCTCAGCTCGTCAGTGTCAACAGAATGGCATATTAAATGAAGGGTTTGCTTCAGGTAAAGAAACACCTGTGAGCATTTCACCATGCACTATTTGATACAGAAATGGCACAAACAGGTGAGGGACAAACATACATTGACTGAACAGTAGTGCTTGTACCTTTCGCTACCACAATGGGCCGTAACACCAATACAGGAAAGCCAGGATTAGGCCGATGAATACGGCTGGGACGGGTTGTAATATGGAAGGCTAAAGAAGGGAAGGGATATTAAAAATCACTTTGTGCTATAAATCAATCAGGTAAAGATGATTTAGAGAGGGGAAAATAAGTCAGTAAGTTTTGTTTTAAGTGAAATGTATTAAAGACATCTAACACATTACAGCATTATCTAATCTGGTATACAAAGTTAGTACACCATTCTACTCAAATGAACAGGGTTGTTCAAAAATAAAGGGAAGTAAGCAGAAAATGTTCCAAGAAACCTCGTGTCACAACTTGGAATTTAGCACTTGAAAACAATACGAATGTTAAATTGATTTGCCTGTATCTTATTTATAGTTGGTTTTAGTTTTTCTAAGTAAGAGGAAATCCTATTTGGATTTCTTGAGAGATAGACTCACACCAAATATTGGATTTTTCAGCTATTTCTTCATTCCTTGCTAGTTAGCCTTTTCCATTTTCCATCACCAGCCTCTGGAAAAACAATCTTTTTTTTTCCTCTATTAGTGAATCAACTACAATTATGCCCACAGGCAAACCCAGTAGTTCAGACATTTCTGTGAGATTGTAACGTGACTGTACAATCCACATTACTAAAAAGCAGAGAAGCACATTTCTATCAGAGACACCACGAAGCTCAGCATCTCTGCCAGGTCAGCAGCCTTGTGACCAAATGCAATTCTGCAAATTGATCAAATGCTGCAGCTGAGGCAAACCAGCAGCTGGCCAGACTGCAGGGTTCATCCAGCTTACGGCCTCCTCAGAACCAGCCACACTTTTTCTCAGCTGTGTTCTACTCATGGAAACTACTGCACATTCTGGATGGAACAGCCTCTATCTGTGATATGAAAAATTAAAAGCAAAAATGGACCTAAATGCTTTTTAATCTGTCCTTGGAAGACATCTGCTTTCTCTGTATCCTACTCTATATATTTGTGCACACACAAAGACACACAGAGGTTAAGGTCAAACCATGCCAAATATTTTTAAAACTGTTTGTGCTGAAGCTACCTTGATTTTGTTCAGTCAAATAAATAAATGATAAATTTATGCTTAACTTTTCTAAAACATTGTGATTAGTAAGTAAAACCTCATCCTGTTATGAATTTGTAGGAATCACTAATTCATAGAACCTCCAATATGGTTCAAAATACAGGAATATTAGAAGGTATTCTAGTCTTGTTCAATTAATTTTTTTTCAATCAAGGCAAATACTTAAAAAAAAAATTCTGTAAACTATTGAAGACTTTTTCATGCAAGATTATTTTTGTGTCATGGGTGCCACGAATCACAGTGCCACCTTCCCACAGAAAGCCTGTTGGCAGAAATAATCACAGCAGTGTTCAAAAAGTGCCAGAGGTTTAAATCAACCAGAGCAGCTGATGTTCTCAAACCATTCACATCATTAAATCTGTTGTGTAAAGCGCATCAGGAAGTAACCAGTGGCTACAAGCATGCAAACACAAGTGGTACACCACACCGCTAAGCATTTCAAAAACACAGCACTGCAATCTTTTTTAAAAGTAAAACTTAAATATTAAAACTTAACACTTAATTGATATCCCAAATGGAGTACAGAAGCCTTGTGTTTTCTAACATTTGCTGATTCACTGAACAATTCTATAGATATCTTTTTGTAAGTTATACACATCCTTGGCAAATGAAACCAATGATAAATATCCATCACATTCAATGAGAGCACCTCCAAATTATTAGATTTTCCCTTCACAAACTTATCAATACATAACAAATCTCCCTATTGTCAGAGCATTTAACTACGTGCTTCAATGAAATTGTGCATCTTTTTTTAGAATATGAAGATATGCAAACTCAGACACAGATGGGCTGCAAAAAGCAACAAATCCCACAGTGGGAAGTCACATTCTGTCCTCAGAAATGAAGTAGCAGATAATGATTCCAGCATAAAGGGGCAATGGTACTTGAAAAATTTGACCTTGGAACTCAGCCCAGTATCCATGATGTTTGAAACAATCCCCAAGATGGATATGTTTTACATTACTGACTGTGAGTAATGTTTGGTGAGCAGTGAGTTTGCCCTTATATGGAGGATGCTCTTCATCACACCCTGACCTCCAGGTTTCAACTGTCACAATTAACTCCTCTTCTGCAAGCAGATTTTGGCAACTGCTGTGGTTTCTGCTTTCACTTAAATACTCACCTCTAATTCTCCCTAAAATTTTCTTTCAGTTTTTCCACTTTCATCAGGTGCTCCAATTTCCTTCACAGTATTTCAAGCCTTTCCTTTTCCCCCTTTTCCACTGATCATTTGGATTCTGAGGTTAATGTTTTTAACAGAGCAGAAAATCTCACATTCACCATTATTTATTCAGTGTGATCTCTTCTATTAAAATGGGGTGGGGTTTTAGTGTGGTTGTTTTTTACTTCTGTTTTAAGTAAGTCAAGTAACTCAGCATTATCTGAGCACTGCATAAAAATCCTAAGCAAGGATCAGGTTCCAAGAGAATGATGAAATCATACTCCTTAAAATATGTCTGTAAAAAGTGAGAAAGACTTGGAATTCTTTACAACTTTGACAGCTCCATGATGTTCAAGGTTTATATTCATACAAACTTTAGGCATCCAGCAGCCAGCTGATTTAGAGGATAGGATGTGTAAAACCTTCTTTGTAGTCAGAGAAACAGTTTGCTAAAGGCTGTTACAGATCATTCATTATTCTCCTGTTTTGTACTGTGCATTACAGGAGCTGTTCACCCTGCACTGGCCACAGAGGTAGAACAGGAAGGCAAAACCAGCATCCCCAGGGTAGTAAGGCACCTAAAATAAGGTATGATCACCTTATAATATGTCTGCCACACCCTTAATGTTTGGAAGATTTCAGAATCTCAGTAAAATAAAAAGTTGTCTCTAGCTGGCAACTCAGTTCTAATGATACAACCTCTCAAATAAATTGAAAACCAGAAAGCACTATTTTCATTAGTGAATAGCAAGGACAGTTCAGCTGTACTGTTTAAAGCATGAGCCCACCAGAAATAACCATGGTTAAGAAGCATAAGCAAGAGTAAGGTGGGAACATCCATTGTAATCAATACTAATAAAATGAGAACAGCTTGAAAAGGTTTACTCAATTCATTTGCACACAGGTTTGTCAGCTATTACCCCTGTATCATTCTTTGAAATCAGAAAATTTGACTTTTTTCTGGTTCGCTAGTCTTTAAGCCACATGTTCTCAAGAGAGCAGGTATCTAAGGACATACTTAAAACTGTCAAGCCACTGTAAATTTAACTTTCATGTGTAATTGTAACAGTGTAACGATCTGCAGATCTGCACAGGTAGGACCAGAATGGAATTTTGCATAATATGGTACCCAGCTTTTTTCTTTACAAGTCCATCCTTTTCTATTTGACTCTTCCATATTCCTTCAATCAACAGGATTGCCAGTGTCATAACCTGACTTCCCCACACGTTTGGTACAGACTTACATTGTTTCCTTTTTCTTGTAGCAGCTTCAGGTTTTCTTTACATTGTTTGAGCTCCTCGGTGAGTGACTGGTTTTGTTGTTCAGCCACCTCATACTTTGCCTTCAGCTCCGAGAGCACAGTCTGTGTTCTTTCATACTAAAGACAAAGAGAGAACAATCTGTGGACCCCTGGATACCCAGCACATGCTGACATCTGCTTAGCACACAGCTCCCTTTGCTGTCATCTGCCTAGACTAACTCGCCTTGCATCAGTGCACACTCTCTTTTCATAAAAGCAGGGTGGAATTTAGATTTCCTTTTTTTCTAAATTAAAATTTTTTGCCCAGCTTGGCAGGGCTAGGACCACTAAACACAAAGAAATACAAAGTAAATGCAAAGCCTTAATTAATTTCTCATACCAATTATTCATTCCCATATTGGAAAGGACTGTAAAAACTACAGAGATGAAACAAGAAATAGGGGAACAAGGAGTCCTCCACATTTGAATAGTGGTCTAGGCCATCTAGGCTGCAGCTTACATACCTACACGCCTCTAATAGGTGCAAAATTCAACACTGTATTCAAAATTCATCACTCTTCCCACACAGCAAATTCAAACCTAAGAGCAAGGCAGGCATTAAAAAAATATTATGCCTTGTTACTGTCATGCCATAATCCTCAGTGTGGGTCAAGTACAAACAGTACTGGGTGAATATTACATGTTCCTACAGAATAGGTAGCTTGTCCTTTTTCAAACCCACATTGCATTTTTTCTATTCTAGCAGTCCTCCTGACTGGGCTTAATAAGGACAGAACCAATGACCTTCAGTACTGGCATTCACCACAAATTTGGAAGATGAGACATCTTTACAAATACTGATCTGATGACAAAACAGAGATTAAGACAACTGGGATTTTCAGATTCTGAGAACTGTAAGGAATGTGACAGGGATGAATTAACCATGGAGTAAACAAAAGGACTGCAAAAGAAACTAAGAGCAGTGACTGGAGAAACATTCAAAACGTTCATAAGAGGAAGCAAGTAAGTGTTGGAGACTATGGCCTTCTTCCAGACATAATCTTTAGAGGCCAGGCAGATTAAATAAATGCTCAGAATGCTCACACTTCCTTATGCACTTACAAATCCACTAAGATAAAAGATCTTTGTAAAGAATATGTAGTCCCACTGCCAAATAAGAGTTCAAATCTCACTGGGAAGATTAGACTGAAAATTAACTTTGACTCATAACAGCTAAAGAAAGTGGCCCATGATGTTCATGAAGACTCTGAATAATGATTTACCTGTCTGAATATCTTAAAAGTAAATTCACTACAGCAATGCATGTAAATAAAGTTGAGGATGTTCTCAAAGAACATGCCTATTCACCCGAAGTCTTCCCTTTTAGATTTGACTCCCAGTTTGTATTTTCACAGCTACCATTTAAACTGCTTGCAATAAACACGTGAAAAAAATTATTTACTAGGAAAAGCAAAGAATTAAAAATCCCTTTCCTTTTAGCCTAAACAGGTCAGTCATTGGGCATTACATTCTTGCAAAATGGAAATACTTCATGTTACCTCTTTCTGAAAATCTTTTGCTTGACTTTCAGCTTCACTGAGTTGAGTTTTCAGACTGGCTGCATCCCGTTGATGTTTTTCTTTCAAAGATCCCATCTGATTTTCAAGTTCCTTCCGAGACATTTCAAGAACACTTATATCGCTGGTTAGTGCTAAACTCTGCTTCTGAGAGCTGAAAAACAAATTCCAATTGATTCCTTATGCATTTTAAATTTACACAAATTGCCACTTTTCACCCTTGAAAGCCTAACATATGGGTTTTGATGTGTAAGTATCAGCTTAGAGTAATCACAGAAACACAGACCATTATTGCCTCCCTAGACAGAGTGCTGACACAAAAGGCTGGCCATGGTCTTGCTTTTAAATATATGTCCACAGCACGCTATGAAGAATTAACATTTAGTATCTCTTTTGGGAGGAAAAACCACCACCACCAAAACTCTTCAGCTGCTGTGGTACCCCCATGACAAACCTTGTGTCCTTACCTAGAAAGCTCCTTCTCTTGTCGCTGAAGTTCAGATGTAAGCGAAGTATTTTCCTTCCTCAGTTTAACACATTCAGCTTCCAGAGCAATCCACTCTGCCTTCAACTTTTCAAGTTCATCTGCAATGAATAAGTTAATTGAATTAAGTAAAATTATTTCATGACTGCTTCAAGGAACACCAGCTAATAAATGGAGGAAAAGCTGGTATCAGCCATAAATCTCAAATATACTTGTTTGCAATCATGTCACATGAATTCTCTCATGAGCACCTGCAAAACACTACATTATCTTCTACTGTTATGAGGTTTATGACCAGTGCCAGACAAGTTACTTTTTTTCATTAAAGTTTTTTCTAAGGTACAAAGAAGCAGAAAAAAGTCTTTTTTATGGGTCGACTCTAGTATTTTAGAAACAGTGGTAGAAAAGCATATTTGAAGAAAATAATTTCCAAGGCTTGAAAATAGCAAGAGAATCACTCATACCATGCCTCTGTTACAAGGAAAAGAATGTTTAAAGCAATAAGCTTTAGTGACACTTTGGTAGAATTAAAAAGTCAGGAGCTCCCCCTTAACAGGCTTAAACTATAGAGAAGTTACACAAGTCCTCTTGGAAAATTTCTGGCAGTATGAATCCCTCAAACTGTAAAAAGTTTTCCATGTTTTCTAAGTGGAATTACACTTGGTCTACTGATATCAAAGAGCACCTAAGTTAAATTAGGCATAATTGACAATAACTGTTTGATGAAGTTTGATGAACTGTTATTGACAATAACTGTTTAATGAAGCACACAATATGACTTTTGTAACACCACAAGCCTTGGTACATACGCAGATACACACAGGTGTGTGTATACACACACACACAGAGTAAATGCCTACAAAGGGACAGAGAAGCAGTGATGTGAGTAACTGCCATCCATCACAGAGAGCAGCATGCCCTGGCAGCCATGCTCTCTGACATCCTTTCAAGCAAGTACCTTTCAGGCGAGAGGCCTCTTCCCTCTGCTGCTCCTCACACTGCTGGCATTTGAGCCGGAAGCTGGACTGCAGAGTGACAATTTCTTTTTCATAATCCGAGGCATCTTTCCTCCACCGGTCAAGCTCCGCTCGCACCGTCTGCAGCTCAGCTTGCAAGGTAGAAATATCTGTGTCTCGTTCTGAGGCTGCTTTTTCTGCTACTTTTTGAAGTGACAGAATCTCATTTTGAGCACTGACTAGTTCATTTCGAGTGGTTGAAATTTCATTCTCCTTCTCCTTGCGAAGATTCTCAATTTCTTCTTGCAACCTTCGCAACTGAGCTGGAAAGCAGAGATTCATGTTAATATTTTCTCAAACTGTATTTACAAAAAACCTAAAAACCCATACCTCCCTTTCTCAACACACTGATATTTAACAGGATTAAAGAAGCCTAATGCAATTGAAAAAATATATGTACCCTGTCAAATGCTTTACCCTTAAAGAGGCAAGTATGTGGGCCATGTAATACGTAGAGTCAAAAGAAACAAAAATTATGTCTGGACAAAGCTTTCTTAGCCAAGGCTGTGCTGTGTGTGTGATACCAAAGCAACTTTCCAAAATCTGAAAACAAGATTTAGATCCAACATCACTGTAAGCAAAACAAGTATTAGAGGACAAGGACATTGGGGCTTTCAGGGAAAAGAGGAAAATCAAGAAAGCTTCTGTCACAGGCCAAACATTTGCAAAGCTACACTGGAAATGTCTGCCTGTTCAGCAGTTAACTTGTGATGTCTATAAATATTTGAGACAGAATAATTTCTACTCTGTTCTCAACATGCAGAAGAGGAAATACACATTATTTCTTTGCAAAATCCATTTTTAAAAGCACAAGATGAATTTTAAATTGAAAGGGACAGCTGCACCATGTACACCGAGCTAGAAGAAGGTTCTTTAGTATTTTAAGCTTACTGTAAATGTGAAGCAGTCACATACACATGAGGCTACTTGACATTTCTGCACAAAGCAAACCTTAAATTATTCCCATCTAAAATGCTTTCATTACTAAAGACATCTCTGAGCACAATTTTTCATAAAAACATACACAAATAGAATCCAGTGCAAACAGTTAAAAAAGAAGTACAGTGCGGAGGAAAGGGAAGTATGAAAGAACAGGAGAACTACAGTTATAACACTGACGGGAGCAAAGTGCTTAATTTGCTGTTGTTCTATTTCACTTTCTTAAAAAAATATATTTCACTGATTTCAACATGTAAAAAAGCAATTATTAAATTAATGAAAAATTACTCTGAGAAGAAAAGGTAAAATTCTTAAGAGCACATGAAAAACTAATGTAACATACTGTGGAGATTCAAAATTACAGATTTAAAGTTTTATGTTTCAGAACCAAAGGGCAAAACAAGGACAGTGAAACACATGGGGAGGATAACCAAGGCTGAGTAATCTTCCTAGGTTACTTGTATTTATTTTTGTCATCTCAATCCATTATAGAACATGACAGGAAGAATGTGAGTAAGTCTTGCTGTAAACTGATAGAGCATCAGAGCTACTCAAAAGAGACCTGCACCTCCATGGCAATTATACTTGAGTTTTTCAGCAGCTACATATGCAGCAATACAGAAAGAATTCATATACTGGTGCAACCTAGAAACTTTGTTGATGTAACATAGTTGATGTGCTATCAAGAAGAAAAATTCACCTTTTTTGTGCCCTCCTCTAAAAAGGCTCCAGCAAGGCATTTATCTCATTAAATACACTAAAGAACCTATGAATTATCCAATTCCCCACTTTGAAGGAAAAAGACACAATGGGAAAAAATACAGTAGTTATTATATACAGTAATACATAAGAGCTATTATAGACAATAGTAAATTAATTTCATGGCAGTTATGTGTAAGATGAAACAGTCTATCTGTTCCAAAACAAAAACATTTGCAGCATAATGGATTTTGAAATAAAGATGAGCAAAATGAGGCTTACTACAACCTTGTTTGAAAATAATTTCTACAGGCTTATACTAACAGAAAGCAAACGAAGCAGTGGGTGAGAACAACCTGACAGCAGGAAAACACATGATGCATCAGCAATTCCCTTTCCATGCATCCTTACATTAGAAGCTTTGAACCTACCAAAACAGTATGGACTAAAACACAAAGAACTACAACTTGCTAATACAGCAGGTGCCTGAGCAAAGGAATGCAAACCATATCTTCCTGATAGCATTTTCTTCAAGCCAAGCTAAATTCCTGCTTCTTGATGCTGGCAGCATTTCAAAGAAACGTGTTTTTTTTTTATCCTGTGCATGCTGTGGATGAACAACTCTCCCTTTATATGTTCAGGCATGAAAACAAGCAGAGCCTTGGACTGAAAATCCAAAGACACACACGAGTTCTAAGTTAGGTGGAGTTGTAGAAATAACTTACACAGGAAAGTCACTACTAACAATATGGGAATGGTTTCTGAAGCATTGGATATAATTTGAGAGGACAATTAGAAATAAAACTTCCATTACATCTCTCGTTTATGTAAGCCATTACCTCATCTAAACTGAATGCTTTGCTTCTTTCACTTTTTTTAAATAAGGAGCAACAAGTTACTTGAATTTCCTTGCTCTACCTATGTATTCATCTAACGAACCTGACACGTAGAGACATGACCTCAGCTGCTTCTCTGGCACTTTCTCTTCTCCATCACAAACAAAGCCAACAACACTGGCTGGCCTAAAATACTGATTCCCTGAAAATACTTCTAGAAATGTTACTTCATGAAGCTGCCAGTTGTTTTTTTTTTCCTTCCCTGCAGTTCACAGGGGCTGCCAAGAGAATCCTGACAGCTTTTCCCAAACTGTGAGATGTGTCACACCCTAAAAGTGTGGGAAGCAGCAAAGCACAGAGTGAACATCAGAACATTCTGAACTACGACAGGGAGAGGAGGAAACATTAGCAAGACCTCTCTGAGAAGGATCCAGAAAACAAAAAAAGTACTGAATTGAGAAGAGGAATCCTGCAATTAAGTTTGGCTCTGTCAAGTTTCTACTTTCATTCTCTCTTTTTAGGAAAAAAAAAATTCCTTTTTTGTTGTGCAGAGAAATAGCTATCAAATATTTTCTATTTCTTGTTACAGCATTTACTACTTGGAGAATTCTCACTTTTAGCAAGATAACACTCAAAATTAAATTGCTCCTCCCGTTCTGAAGATGAGCATTCTTTAAGCTTCTCTTTTGTACAAGAGCAATGACAGAAAATGTCAAGGTTCTTTGCTGACAGCCACATAAAACAGAGCTATTACAGAAGTTTTTCAGTGTAACTACATGACAAGTACCACATTACCCAACAAACTACTGCCCAGAAAATAATTTTCTAGGGCTATTTTGACTTCCTAAGAAAGTAAGGACTGTCAGTCCACCTGCTTGTTTGCTCATCTGCCTTCCAGACATTTTTGGGTTAAAAGCAAATGATATGCAGACAAAGATCCCAAGGATGAAGCTCCTGAGTTTTGTAATAATCAATGGCTGAGTAGCTCTTCAAACTAACACTTGCTCTAAGGAAATTACAATGTAACATAGCCTTTTTTGACATTAAGGCTGGACAGACTGACAGACTCTTGGCCAACGAGCTCACTCACATGCATGGATGAGAAGTTAATGTGATACTGAACACCTGACTCAGAAGTTGTGTAAATCACTGGATTACATCCTGCTGTATGCATTTTGAGCTGAAAAGAGCACGATTGAGTATATAAATTTTCAAAAAGGCATGGACAGGGTCTCTGCTGCAGCAACTTTACTGCATGCTCTGATGCTGGATTTGGATCAGGATGAAAAATTTCTTTAAGAGGATCCTATAAGGAAGTGAAGAGACTGACTAGAACAAGAACACCTATAGCTTCTGAGTCCTCTGAAGGCAGTCTCATTTAGAAGTGAGAAAGACTAAAGGGAGATGAAGAAGAGGTACCTATACACACTACATCTTTTGCATTTTTTAAATTACTATTACAACCATAGGAATTTAAAGGAAACATTCCACAACAACATTCAAAGATATGGTGAAAGAAATCAGATTTAAAACATACACTCAACTAAACATTTTCCTTTCTTAGTGACTATGATGCCACAGAAACAGTTAAAATTATATAGCTTCTCTAACGAGTGGGGGAAAAAATTCCTACCTTGCAGAGCATTTATTTGCTTGTTGGATTCTTCAACTTGCACTCGATATGCTTTTCTCTCTTCTTCCAAGAGAGCTACAAATAAAAGTGAAAATGTGCCCAAGAGTTTTTGTTAGTAACATGAATTTCACCTGTGTAATTAATTTTAGTCACAATCTCTCCTTAAGTGAAAAGATTAGCCAAACATATTACTTCAGGAAGTTATCAAAGGTAGTAAAACTGTGTAAGTAGTTTAATAAAAGTTAATACTAGGACATCATTCCATTATTGTGGTAGTATTACAATTAATTTGAAATTCATACAATCTGTTGCCTGATCTGAAAACTCCGTGTGTGCTAAATGTAAACTGGTATGAGAGGAAGGAAAAAAAGAAAGGCTGTAAATATAACCCCTAATGAACACTGAACAATATGCAATTAAACTGAACTATACTATTTCCTCTTAAAAACAATAGAGCTACATAGCTGATAGGATGATCTAACACAGAGCTACCACTGAAGACATTCAATTACATCCATTAGCTAAATAAGCTAATAATAGCTTAAATAAGGATAGCTGAAATAAGGATGAAATATACTGAGTTCAAGTATGTATTCAATACTATGAAAAGACGTTGGTTTATTTTGAACTAGCTGATATATAGAATTTTCATGAATACCCTACAGAACCAAGTTGATCTGGGTCTCACCTTGAAGTTCAAAGCATTTTTGTTTACTTGTCCTAGCTAGCTCTTGGGCTTCAACCAGCTCCTTGTGCAGTTGCTGAATTTCTTGCTTAGCCTCAGTCTCTGATTGTGCACCCTGCAATTCATCTGATAAAAGAACATTTTCTTTGAATCATAAGTTTGTACAACAGCTTAATTTGCACTGCCATGTGCTGACTGGCAACTTTTTACACAAACCTTCAAAAGTTAGTTAAACTCAAAATTAGAATAGGCAAACATTAGCAAAAATATTAATGTACTTTTTGAAGTAGTAAAACATATGCAAACCTTAGATCATTCATTAGACATAACATGCAATATAAAACAAAAATTAACAAGGAAGGATTAGAGAGTTTTAAAAAACACTGTATAAATTGGCAAGGATTTCTGTATTGACAAAAACAAGGAACAACAAAAGCCTCAGACAATCCTTGACTGTGTTTACAGCTTGTCTCTTTTTAAAGGAAGCTCCTCTAAGCCTGTCTCAGTGCACAGGCTCAGGCAAGAGCTGCTATTCCATGATTCACTACTGCCACCCACCCACTGCATTGCCAGGCTCAACCTCCCTCTCTCCCTCTGGGGACCAACAAGGAAAGGAAAAGATTAGGGAAATTTCCTAAAACAAAATTAAGAAAAAGAAGAAAAATTCCAACCTCCTTATGTCATTCAGTGGCCTTAGTGAATACTAAGATAAATATTGCACTTGATTATTTTTTTTAAACTAGATCTTCAAACATTAGGTATGTCTTTAATATGATCATAAATCTAGGCACATTATTTAGACTCTAAATAAAAACATTTGCTCTTCCCCATAAGTTTTGTATTAGCTAAAACACGTATTAAATGCCTCTTGGGCTTACAAGAGATCACTCGCAGTCACAGACAAATAAAACACTTTTACAGCTAAAGTTTTGGAGGAATTTAAAAGAGGAAAACTAAGTATTTGTTACTAAGAGCAGTGTCCTCTAATGGGCACACATTTAGAAGTTAGATACAGGAACATTCCAGCCAGCAGGCATCTGTAAAGCCAGGAACAGCATCCAGCAAACTCTCATTTACTAGATTTTCCTTAAGCTGTGTCTGTGCACAAACTGATCTTTCAGTAGACACAAACAGCACTAATAAACTCTAAAGGTAGAGGGCTAAAGCTTGATATAAAGCTTATTTGGTGAGAAAGGTAAAAGAAGGAAATTGGTGAAAGAATTCCAGCTGTGTATCATGGGAGAGGGTGGAAAAAGTTTACACAGTTACCTGGTCAATGTCTGCAACTATAGAACACATGGATTTAAGATAAAGGCTTAGAAAAAAGAATACTTCAGTTTGTCTGGACTTTGCATTAATGTGGAAAAAAATAAAAATAAACTATAATTTAGCTCATCATTGTACTTTTGACATTCTTATTTAGCTGTATATGTTATCAATAAAGTAATTATAGATTTTTTTCTTGCTCTTAATTAACAAAATTGCTTAGCAAATCATGCTGAAGACTTCATACTGCATCACTCTAAGGGGCTGTTTTTGCTGCTCTCACAGTAACAAACTGGTGGGTTTGAGCAGAGCTGAGAACACACATGTGCTTTTAGACTTTTTCAGAATGAAATTATGAGAGCAGAAAGAACAGAGAGGACTACATATTTCATCCAAATACTTTGTTTTATGGTTTATTAGCTCTAAATCCAAGTTTCTCTTTACTGAACATGTTTTGTTCTTAGCTTCTCATGGATAAAGATTTAGGGCAATTAGACTTTCAACCCTCTTTAATGAGACTTTTCAGAAGAAATGGATGAGGAAGTCGACAAATTATGCTCAAATCATGCCTGATAAAGAGGCAGTGTCCCAAATCCAGCAACAGACACCCTAAATGAACTTTTATGGTGGCAGTGTTTTCTAGTCAATGAAAGCACACATCATAAAAGACAGTACTGCTTCAAAAGAGATGAGAGGTAAACTCTTTCCTACATCAACACAAAAGGGGAATTTCCATGTGCCTGACATGCTTCTAAATCAAAAGCCAAGAAATATAAGCACAAGAAAATAGTTGCTTTTTAGTATTACCCAAACTGAAAATTAAGTGTCTTGTAGTTCAAAGCAAATATAGTTTTGGTGCTGATTCTAGTTTTGAAAAGTGAGTTGACTTCTTCAGTGAATAGGATTGTCCATTTACAAACAATAAAACTACTAAATATCATCATCCTTCGAATGAATTCCCTTTAGAAGCAAATTCACATCACGACCAACTGTCCTCAGAGAAGGCTAAGGAGTTACCATTAATTACAACAAGGTGCCAGAAAGAATTAAATAAAAAACAAAAGGCCAAATACAGCATTTTTTCTTCCTCATTCATTTTTTCCACCTCGTGGAAAATTTTAATCTGTGATCAGTTTGTTTGCCACACTTTAAGAAATGTTCTCAATTAACACCACTTTGTTTCCCACACAAATACAGTGAGGCTTCCATTAACATTGATTCTAATGGTAATTTTAAAATTGCTTTATAAACTTTTTTTAAACCATTTTAATTTTTTTTTTTTTTTAATAACAGAGATAATACAGAAGCCCACACAGTCGTAACTGATCCTTTATCTGTATGTGCCCAGCCTATGGTAGCAACTTTATGAGCAACCAGTATTTCTTCAAGCCTCAATTCTGAAAGGTCACATTCAGAATTTTGCAGGATTTCTCAGGTTATTCAGAAGACAATTTTCAGGGTACTCTGGTGAAGTCAGACACAACAATTACAACCCTGAGATTTTTTTTTTAGCTTCATAAGATCCACATGTCATATATTTAAAGTAAAGTATCTGGTTATTCTGACATAAAACAATGGTTCCCAAACTTTCTGAGCTGACAGACCACTGCTGATATTCAAAATTTCTTATGTAATTTACCACCATTTAGCAAATCCTCAGCTGAAACATTTCCTACTAAGATTCCATGGATCACTCTTTTAATTACTATGAAAACACAAGGACATGGGTAAGAACAAGTTTACCAGTCTTCCAATGACATTTATTGCTCCTTTCCATCTGTTTAACATTTACCTGCCCTTAACTCTGCAATAAGTAGTCACAAACAGCCTGTTTAAACAGAAGTGTCCAGGGAACTGTTATGAATGGTTAATAAAGTCATTTACCTTGTGGGGGAAAAAACAAAGCCAACTAATCTGTCACAGCTTCCCCCCATCCCCTCCTTGCCAGATTCTGACTTGTAGAAACTTAAATCAAATCCTGAATGCAGTCAAAAATTTTGATGAAAATGTTTGGAGGAATCTACAGCAACCAGAAGTCTCATAATTTTCCTGTTCCACTAATTTGTTTTGTGAATTTTAACAAGACCTCTGCCTTTTCCAGCAGCCGTTTCTGCATTCCAAACAGCCGCCAGATCAAAAATGTTCTCACTCTTCCTTAATTATATGGCTGCATAACAAGTCCACTTGAAAACCTTTCTGAGGCAAATCAGATCCTTTTTAGGGCAAAATCAGGCACATGAAGTCGGTCTCTGAAAAAAAACTCAAACAAAACTGTGGGTTTATAGACTCTTCATAAAAATTAAAAGGGCAAATGATTCATTGCACAGATATTTTTTAATGGTTTCGTGAGAGCAAAATAGGGAGGCCCAAAAATAGCCTCAAGAGGAAGAGAAAAGTTGCTGCCAACCTCTGTTTTATAACCAAAAATAAGACTATTATAATCACTACAAACAACATTATCAAATTGTACCTTCTAGCATAGCAAGTCACTGAACATACTTGTTATTAGTTGCAGACATTAGAGCAAACCCCAAAGGAAACGTGCCCAGTATCTCAAACACTCCTTTCTAAACTGCTTTGCTGAACTGATGTCCACTGGGAAACATCAGACTCAATATTATACATGTTGCCAAACAGCAAAAGTAATTTGTGCAATTTTTGGAAGCCTTTCTGTCGTAAAATTAGGGAGTGTAAACAATTGCAGAGAAAAGCTCTTTTACAGGTCTCCTACGTTCCATTATGGTTTCCTTTTTTCCTGAGTCACAAAGAACTGTGACATTCTTTTACTTGCGATCCCAATAGGAACATAATTTTACAGATCTTATCAAATGTCTAATTGTTAAAGAAGCATAAAATGATTTTCAATAGACTAAATATAATAACTAATTATTATGCCACAGAAATCTTCAGCTAATGAATATGCAAATATCAGCTGGCTAATTAAGTATATCCCTTCAATGCATAAAAACCAATAAAAATGTTACGTTTATAGAAATGAAGCTCAAAGCTAAGCCTCAGCCATCATTCCAAGTACAGTTATAACACAAACTTCCAATCTTGACTGTGTTAAAAAAAGAAAATCTAAAATCTTGTTTTGATTAACCCACCAGCTGCAAACTAACAGAAACATTTCTGACAGTGATCGAAGCTATGCAAGTAAAATTTGACAATGCTTGACAAATGTCAGTGGTGAAGGAATCCCTCCTCTCCACAGCTATAATCTTAAATGTGTGCTGACCGTAATTCTCAAGTCAAAGTTGTAACATGTAAATTCCTAGAACAGCGTTGGTGAGTTCAGAGATTACTTTTAGACACAGATGATTTCTACAGCAACACTCAGAAGTGTGTTTTTATATCACCCAAAGGAGTCATAACTGATATTTAACTCTTCCATACTACATGATTAACATCTTTGAATTCCAGCATTCTATTTTACTATTTTTTATCATTTGATAACAATCAGGTAGACAAAAAGATTACATTTACAGATTATGCATCTAAAATTGCAAAAGTAAATTTGTTTACCTTTTAGAAGAGCTACTTTGACAATAGGTTCATTTAGATCTTGGTCATCCATTTGAGCATCTAAAAAAAAACCCCACACCTTTCAGAGAGCAGGCAGACTGTAGACAGTTCTCATATACACATTCTTTACATGGAGAGAAGATTTTATGTCCTTCTCAATTTACAAGAGTCAAATTATGAAGCCACAAAATAGACAACACCACTCTAAGCTTGTCTCTAACTCTGTATAATATACTCCATTCTTTTAAGAAATGCTCATGATTACCTAGGTTTAATTCAAACTAATCAGAGGTTACAGAAATCTCAATTAAACTCTTACCTGTAGTGTCGTCGCTGCTTTTTTCCTTGCTTGGGCTAAGGGTGTCAGACAAATCGTTCGATTCTTTGACTCGTGCTTGGTTTTCTGCAAGAGACAAGGAAAAGCAACTACAATCAATAAATGCTTTGTTCATGATTTCTCCTGTACACCAAACTACTGCTATGTCAATAGAAAACAACTTGGTTTAAGAAACAGTTAAAAACCTGCTGGGTGCCTATTTCTTTGCAAGTCTGGGCTAAAATGGATTCCGCATCCCTGGAATCATTAACCCAGCCTAGCCTCTAATAAGGGATGCAATCGCCTCGTGCACAGCTTGAACTTGGGTTAATGCTGTGCTCTTGCCAGCTGGAACTGTGGAAAAGCTGATTCAATCAGCAAACAAATAAGAAAAGAAAAGTAGAACAATGCAGATACTGTAGCAAGTCAGAAAAAAACTGCTGTTAAGAATAAAACTGTGTTTCAGTATTTTGGACAAATTACATAATAACAAGCCTTGTACATACCGTACTGTTCAAAAGAAGTGTGGTGTGAACCATTAAAGAATCACAGCAGTATAAATTAATACATTTGTTTCTAGAAAGAATTTTCAGTTTAAATTATATTAAGAGAAACAGTATATGTTGTTGCCACAAAAAAATTATCTTCATGAAATATTTGTTCATACATAATTCAGCACTTTATTACATGCAGCTTAGTGAAGCCACAGAGTTGTTTGGTTTTTGGTTTTTTTTTTTTTTTTGGTTTGCTGGATTTTTTGTTGTTGAGTCTTTTTTCCCCAGTTCTAGATTTTTAGTGGAGATCATATATTTTCAAAATTAAGAGGATTTAATTACACCAGTGCTTGGTCCCACACAGAATCACCCCTGACTCAAAGTCTAAATATTCTACATGACTGAAATAAATTTTTAAAATTTTTTCTTAAATAACAATTACGGTTTAGTTCTGATAGGTCCATTAAAAAGGCCACACCACCTCTGGTGCGGGCTAACCCAGCAGGTCTGTCAGCAAGGAACCATCACCAACGTGCAGGTGAGGTTATGCAAAATGAAATCTTTCTTGGCTGCCTATTCAGAGCCTTGCTTTTGACAGCTCTGCTGCCCACCTGCAGGATAACAGAGGTCTCCTCTGAGTCTCAAGTTCCAGGCAGAGACATTATATGAAAAGGGGTCAATACAGCATTCCCAGTACACAGACATCTCCCATCCATGGAGAAAAGCACAGGGAAAACAAATAATTTCACCACATGTGCATGCAGCAATTAAGTACCAGGACATGGGAAGAAAGAAGCACATCAATAAATAAATTGTGTTATACAACAGGGTTAGTGTACGAAAATAAGTACAAACCAAGGGAATAATAAGACATCTTTTCAAATAAAAAGAGAATACACAGAACTAACTTCCCCCAGAACAAAAGAAGCGGAAACTGGAGACAATCTGTGTGGCTGCATGAGGAAATCAACACGACAGAACATGGACAGGTTAACAGAAAAAAACCCACAAAGTTTTCTTAATCTAACACGAAAAGTTTTCTATAACTCTGTGCCAGATTAACATCCACTTATACATGAAACAGAAGGCAGCAAGTACAAACAATGCAGCTAATGAAGAGCAAGATTCCTCCCACCCTAATACAACCGAAATTACTGGAGAAGAGGAAGGGGAAAAGCACCTGTACAGTTAAAGTACTAGAGGTTTAGACCTCAGGTACGACAAACACAACTCTCATTTTAGCAGACTTCAAAATTCATAATGATTGCTTGTAGTTAAAAACTTAAATCCTTGGGAGTGGATGGTTCTTTGCTAAAACAAAAAGGGATCTTTCTTATTTTTAGAAATAAGGTTTTTAACTAATATCTAAAGGTGTTTCAAATCAAAACATTTTGCATTATCATACAGAACCAAGCTAACAGGATTGCCACTAAAACTGTCATAATTACTAAATCAATACATTATTTTTTTAACTACTAAGAAAAGTATAACCTAAAAGCCTCACCCATGTCACTTTTATTAGTGGCCGATCCAGAAGCATTAAGCTGAGCAAGATCCACATCCAACTAACTTTACCATATCTGGGCATCCATGGAAATACTGCTTCCCTGCTCTGTGCAAAATGGGAGGAACACTGCGAGTTCCAACCACTGAATTAATTCTCTCTCCCACAGCACCCCCTTATATACTTCCCTCCCACCCACCCTTGGTACACCAGCTTCTTCCCCGCTCCTGCCCTCCCCCCTTGTGTCTGAAACAAGGCACAAAAGATGAGGCACCAGACGAAAGATGCACCAGTTCTACACGGGAAACAGCAGAAGACAAATTATTAGAAACCTGCTTCCTATTCTGGAACCAGAGTCGTAAGCACAAAACTCTTTCCTGTACTATATTATATCACAGCAGTTGTTCCTATTTCCCATAATAAAACTGAGCTGAATAAATATAGCCAAAGTGATAAAGTATATTAAAATGTGTTGACATCATACTTGATGAGTTAGAATATATTACCAAACACTAAAAATAGCTCAGAGCTTTGCAATGGAAGGGGCATGCAAGTGTTACGTTACAGTTATTGTATGCATTCTTTTGCCAAATATGGCACCTTGTCTATAGCTTCCTCATGTACAGAAAGGAGTTAAAGGTGCCACTCCATGCATTAAAGGAAGAGAAGATAAATTAAAATGTCTCTAAAACACTGGACCTTTCAGCAAATTAACATTTATTCAACACAACAACACTTTGCTAAAGCTCAGAGGGTAAAGAACTGAGGCAGTTTGTCCAGACATCAATAAAAAGCTGCAAGAGAGGAGAGAGCCTGCAAGTCCAAACAATCTTACATTATTGGACACTTGAGAAATATTGACCTGCACACTTGTTAGCAATCCTGACCTTGGCACTGTAAGGTAAGGATGACTGTTCCTTAACAAGTCTTTTCTAATTAGCTCCTTTAATTTAACTTGCTTTATATATTAGAGAAAAGAGTTAGAGAGGCACAGATATATTTTACTTATAAAAGACACATTCAGGAGGTTAATACTTATTTTAAAGTTATGAGATAAGATAGAAAATAGTAAAATTAAAATACACTTTTTTAAAAACTTGAAATTACACCAAACATTATTTGTATGTAGCTCTATAATAAAACCAAAATCCCATTTGGAATTCATGCAGGCACCAAAGCTTGAATTGAATTTACAAAAATTACTTTTTTTTTTTTTTTTAATGCATATTCAAGTAAGAACTCAGTCAATATTAAGACTAGCATTTCATGCACTCAATCATCAAAAATGGTTTCCATTAAATCTCTTTAGCCTACAATAGTATTTGGAGTAGAGTTCAGCAAACAATTTTCCTCCCCTTGATTGAATTTCTCCTCAAATGCGTATTCAATCAAAACTCAAACTGCTGGCTTAACACAGAACATGCACTGAGTGACAGAAAAAGCATGCTTCAAAAACAGTTAAATAATCCAGAAGTCTAACCTTTCAAAAGCTTTGTTTCTTCCACTTTGGTTAGATGTCCTTCATCTATGATCTTGTCTGCCAAACAAAATAAGTGTTACTTTCCAAGCTCAAATTTTCCCTGCACGCATCTACGTAGAGTACATTCCATGACCAAATTAAAAGCTGATAATATTACTTCCTACTCAGCCTTGAACAAAAACTTTATTCTGGCACGGAATAATGAAACAGAGCACACAAGCCTATCAGAACTTTGTGATACAGTGCATAATTATTTCTCCTTATTAACTTACATAATGCTGCATTTCACTAATGAGAATTTAGAAAAATGAATTTTATGTACTTAAAAAAACCCAAAACAAACTAATCAGAAGCAACAAATAATTAACACATTTCTCAAGTTTAGTTATCAAAAAAAGGAATTTGAAAATTTGATTGCATGAAACAGACATGCACCCAACACAGCAGAAATCTAGAAATGCACCACATAAAACAGCAATAGAGAAGTCCCCTCAACATCACAACTGCTTTTAACAGTGCCTGTGAAATATACACAGAAACACCCTTTTCTGTTTAAACCTTTCAAGAGAACTGCACAAAAATCCTCCAAAAACCTAGGAATGCATTACATTCAGGTTCATGAAAAAAGGAGTTTTTATCCAAAGTCTACTTTAGCGAAGTCTACTCATGTATGTGAGATGTACAAAAATCTTAGAAGTGGAATTTGTGACTAGATTGCTAACTTCATCCTAACTCCTGCTAGAACATAAAGGTAAACAAGCACACCAAGAAGTTGAAGGGAAGAACAGGATTGAATTAACGAAGGACACTAACAAAACTATTGAATAATTAATTTCTTTTTCCAGATGAGATTTCATTATTTCTAATTCCTTAAGAAGCAATGGCAACACAGAAGATCACATCCTCCGTTTCTGTGCAGCAGATTTCACAGTTTAGTCCATGTTGAAAGCTGTTAGTCCCCAAAATATCAGGCCTGAGAAGCTCCCTCTGCCTCCCCTCCATGGTCTCCCTGTCAGATCCCTGATAACCAGGTAGGGAATGCAGTTTGCTGGATACTCCATGTGCTGTCAACAGGAAACTGACACACAGAGAAGGCTGAATGAACAGCACAAACAGGAGAGTTCAGGCTAAAGAAGTAAATCCTCTTCAAATTAGAAGCAAAACAACAAAACCCAAAAAACTTTAAGCTTTTTCAGCTTCAAGTATGTTTGAAGATGAATTTGTCCCTCTATTCCTCTGGTGGCATGTTGCTGTAACTATGACAATTGAAGGACAGATGCAGGACAAGATCTGGGAGAAGAGATCTTTCACAAACCTAGTTGGCAGACAAACTTTCAGACAAAAAAACCTGAAGTGTGAAGGTTTTCATGGCCAAAAGGTTGCCCTGTACTCTGCCCCCTCCCACACAGACAGATAAGCCAGTGGAAAAGAGATGTTCCCTCCACCTACTTTTATCTACAAATATTATTCTGCATTAATGTAACATTTTACTAACACTGCTTCAGAAACACATGCAACAGCACACTGGATTTTCAGGACTGGCTTTAGGTCTCAAGCAACTGTAGGAGATCACTCATCATCCAAGTTCAGAACAGCCTCAAGTTCCTCTAAGCTTGTGAGAATGACTGTGCCTAGACTGAGTAAAGCACTGTGGAGGGAATCAAGTTACTGGCAGACACAAGTCAGGAGTTCAACTGATACCATGAGTCCTCTTCCATTTAAAATAAAATAAATCTAAACAAAAGTCTTCATATATGATTATTCCAGGACTCAGCTGTGACGGAAGTGGGGTGGAAGGGAAGGCAGCAAGAAAAGAGCTGGGGAATTCTCCCTGTAGATCTGAATAAAACAGCTGAAGACAAAAACAAGTAGCTTTCAACTGCTTGAGCTGAAGGGGTAACACCTCAACCATGCTAGACTGCTAGCTTAAAATAGGCTTCTATAATCAGCTTACAGAGGAAAACGTAGCATTATGAATTGATGCATCTTTTAGCTTTCACAATTCAGTAACTGTTAAACCCTGAATAATTGCAATACAAAACAGAAACTATCCTTCCTGACACAGATGTTTTCCAAACTGAAACTTCTGCAGCAATTCTTTACACTCTGTTTCCATGACTAAAAGAAACTGCAGGCTTGGGTTTTTGGCTTTTTTTTTTTTTTTATTTCCATGGCTTACTGTTTTCTAGTGTCCATTACTGATCTGAGCATTTGTACAAAAGGTACACTATCCCTGGCACTGTTTCTGCAGCCAAGACCTTGAGCAGCAGCACACGAGTCCCTGCGCAGCCTGGCACGGGCAGGGCACAGCCAGTGTTTTGCACTCTGTGACTGACACCTCGCTTTCAGAAAAGTGAACATTCCCTGTGCTTCAAGAATTGATATATGGCATAAGCCAACAAAAAAATAATCAATTCAGCATGCTGGTATTTAGAGAATACAGATATGGTATTTTAGATAAAACAGAAAATTGGATGTTGGTATCACCAAACTCCATAGAATCTTATTTTTCACTATTACCACCCTAGTCACTAAAAACGGTAGAATCCAGACAACAATGAGGGGAAAAAAAGATAGAGATGTCTTCTTTAAAACAGCTCTTTCAAATCTCTGCATTACTAGTCACTAAAAATGGTAGAATCTAGACAACAATGAGGGGAAAAAAAGATAAAGAGATGTCTTCTTTAAAACAGCTCTTTCAAATCTCTGCATTTTAAAATTTTACTATTTCAGAAAACTTCACACACCTTATTTGTTTTTAAATCAATTAGTGTTTTCCCTGAATCAAGACATGCAATCTTGTCCATCAAAATACAAATTAGGGTAAGGATCTTAGCTTTAATTTCTGGCACGAAAGAACTTTAGCTTTCATGCTATCCAGTCCCTACTTAGCAGAAAGCAGAGAGGTAGATATAATTAATGTTTTTACTGACACAATCTGCTGCAAACTTGAGCTTTCAGTTAGTCCTTAAGATAATTCATATTTTCTTCTGCAGCTTAAAGCCAGCTTTCCTTTAGGTTTTTAGGCATTTCCTATCTTTTCAATTTAAGAACTCCATTTCAGATTTAAGCTATCACTATGTGCAATACAATGACTAATTTTACAATTATCACTTAAGTAACATCACCCCTCTACATTTATATTTTGGCATCAAAATAGTCTTTGAAGTAGGCCAGGTTTGAAAACCAACAAAAAACCTGTTCCTCAACGCACAAATTTCCAACCATCTGAAAAAAGCGATACTAAACAGCTTGAACTTTACTTAGCCGCCTCCAGGTCAAAGGAAAAGTTAAAAATAATTTAATACGTTCAATCCATCCAAAAACTACTATTAATAAATCTGCAAAAATCAGCTTGGTGAAAAGAAGGAAATTGACTTGCATTTAAAATCAAATGCAAAAATCACAATGTAAGGGGGGAAAAAAAGGACACAAATAAAGAAGGGTTAGACGGGAGTGAAAGACAGGAAGTTAGCAGGGCAACAAATCTCACTTTGGTCTATACATCATCACATTTTTGCTAATAATGCATATCATGTACTGATCAAAAAGCACCATGACTTCTGGTCTTGATATCACTGATTTTGACCAGTGGTTACTAAAAAAAAAGCTATGGAATGAGCAACAAGTGAACTGGATGTAATGATCAGAAAGTAAGAGACTTCCCAGATCATTCAGAGCCAGATTTCATAACACTCCACAGATGTCAGAGGTCAGGACACGTTACTGGATGATACTGTGAGCGCATTGGTCTTAAAAAATAAAAATAATTACATAATATCTTTAAAAGTTTACAGAAGCTGGATTTTACAAACCATCTAGTTTCTGGGATTTTTATTATATCATTATTGTTTAACTAATAAACCTGCTGCTCTCTCAGTACTTAAACCTCTGGGCAGAACCCCAACATACTACCACACGATGAGCTACATATTCTTGCTCTGTATTGCCAGTCTGTGTGATATTGTTCTACACTATTTGCTGTGTGCCTTAAAACGACTTCCTGACAATCTCTGGAACTGTGACTTTTCTCCCCAGGAGTCCCGAGCTCTTGATGCTACACAGAGCAAAGAACAGAAATAGGACTGTAGGGCAGCATTTACATACAAAAGGCAAAGAACAGATCCTACAGTTTGGAGTTTTTAACCTCATGATATTGTGAGGCCTGACCAAACACATTTGAACGTGGAAAAGGCAAACTTCCAGTCCAAGAACAAATAAAAGAGTCAATGATTTTGAATTTTTCTTGATGTGAGAGTAAAAACTTAGACTGTCATAAAAAATGCAAACTACTGACCTCATTTGAACTCTTATTAATTCCTTTAAAAATGAAGTAGTTGAGGCCTTGCAGTGTTTTCACTGTAGCTTTCAATGTCTTGAGAAAGGGTAAGCATAAATCCACTGATCTTAATTTTACTCTCACTAGTACTTCTTTAATATCTTAGAATATTTTAACAGATACTTGATCACTGTTCCTTCTCAATAGTGACAGGACTGGTAACATTTAGTTTGCAGAAGTGATACTAACCTAAGTTTTGCCAAAATAGGTTAAGCTAACATCCGAACAATGCAAACAGGCAACCAGTTTTATTTGAACATTACACAGGGTGCTCTTCATGTTCTAGACAAGAAAAATGTTTATTCAAGCATTTAACTTCATTTTTATGTACTGAAAAAAGAAGATTCATACAAGATCTTTGCAAAATTCAGAATTATTTTAAACTTCAGCCTTACAGAAGACAGCTACCAGTCATTAATTTTTTTAAATAAAGATTTTTCCAATCTTAAATTTTCTTAAACAAACATTAGCAGTATCATGTAATTTGGCTTATGGCACTGTAATCTGGATCACAAGCAGTAAAATCAAACAAGTCTGCTACCCTTCCTCATAAAAATTTGAGAGGAAAGAGTCCAATGGGCATAATGTCAAAAAATATCCTGTCTTATTTCTGCATCTAGATGCTTCTCTGCTCAATTTTAGGTACATAATTTCTATAAACTCTGAAGCAAAAAAATCCCAGGTTTTCTTGAAGTTTAATAGCACTCTGCTTCTCTTCATTCTAATGGTATTTTTCTTTCAGTAGGCAGAAAGTATAAATACCTTCAGTTTTTCTTCAATTACAGATGTGCAGACAGTGCTGTTTCATTACTCATTTTTAAAAGCATTTGCTTTGAAAAACACGTCTCACATTTCAGAATAACACATCTTTCTAAAGACTGGTATGCAATTTTCTGTTTTTCTTAAAACAGTCTCTTGGATTTCCACATACAAACTATGGACTTGTTTTCCCTTCGGTTCTTTTGTTACAATTAATCTGGAGCATGTGCAAGGCCTTTAATTGTCAGATAAATTACAGATATGTGAAAAGGCACCGCCTTCTCTGTCCTTTGCTGCCTGTGATGTTTGCTTAAACTGACAGGTTTCAACTTAAATTGTAACAGGTGAAAAATTACACTCAGTTTTAAACACCGTGTGGCAACATCACCACCCTCTGTTGGTTAGGGCACAATAATGGATGAACTGAGAAGAGACAATGTCACTTTGCAAGAGCAAAGATATCCTATTACACCTGCTTAATACCACAATGCCACAATTCTGTGCTTAGAAAATTTCTGCTTCTACAGAAATATTAAATAGTAGTGACAAATTCTGGTTTCATCCACCTTTTCTGTGTTTTCTGTTGTTTTTAAAGCAAATGTGAACACTCTTGTACTCACTCTGACATTCTATGAACTGATGAATAAAAGTGCAGTCCCCTCCACTCTTTGAAAGAAAGTGCTCTAGTAGAGAAAGAAACACTTCAGTTTACATCTTCTTATCATTTTCAAATTGATGCAACAAAAAATTTGAAAGGCATATTAACAATATTTGTCAGTGTATTCACGATGGACTTTTGAATCAAATCTGAGTTAATATGCAAGCAGACAAGACATGAAATTGAAATGATGTCTGAGTGATACTAGGAAATAGATTACTCTTTTAAACTGATCAGAAGAAAGAAGTACTTCAGCTGCATTTTCAGAAGAAACATGCTCTTGACCTATATTCTTCAGCATTTTTATTAGCTTTAAAAGGGTATTTCCAAAGTTTTTCATTAATCTTCATGTTGATTTTTCATATCTAACACCCTCAATTTTAAAAAAGTTGTTGAATATATGCCTATACTTTTTAAACAGTTTCACTTTGAAAAGACAGTTCTGCAGCGAGTTCCTAAAACTGAGCTCTGTTCCCAGGTTTACTCAAGTCCTTGTCCAGCTCCCAACTCCATCAGAATCCTGCATCTCTTCAGGGTGCAAACATTTCCTTTCTGAAGAACCTCAAAAATCTTTTGACCAAGAGTCCAGCAGTAGGAAAAGGCTGGCATTAGTACAAACCTGCAGAATTTGGTACATTCTAACCAAATTGTTCAACCATTACCTCTGACATCAGCTGCCCAACTGCAATACTGAGCTTTACTGTATTTTGAAGTTACTCTAAACTTTTTTTAACTCACAAGGACAGGGCTTTTAAAAAACAGCACCATGACTGTAAAATTTATTTTCCACATTTAAACTTCCTTTTTTTTTTTTTTTTTTATTTTCATTTTTACCTGGTCCTCTAAGTGACTGTATACAAATTTCTCTTATCTTTCTTCATGTAATATTTGGCTCACAAAATTTAAAGATGAAAGCTAGGTGTGGTGCAACACATGGAGAAAAATACCACTTTTTGAAACAATTTAGTTCTACACAACTTTTACCAGGGGCTTGCTGTACCAAAAAGTTCCTCTTTTCTGCACGTCCAATGAGAGAAAATGAATGCCTAACTATCATTCTCTAATACACTTTTTTTATTGAAAGCCTCTGGAGAGGCTATGAGTTCTTAGTTCCTCTACTCTGAATACATCTCCTGACTGCTACAGCCACAGAAAAAAGTAATGTAAACCATTATTCTTGTCATGGCCAGGTAGTGTGCCTGTGCACACACTTTGAGAGAAAGAGAGACAAAAGAATTTTTAAAAGCATACTGATTTTACGTGAGTTTCACAGTTTTCCTCTTTCATTCCCTAAGTTGTTCAATCTGCTTTATAAACCCAAAATTCTTAGCTCTTCTAAAATAATGCAGAACTACATAGCAAAAAACAAACAACAAACCAAACCAACCAACAAAAGAACTAAAAAAAAACCCCAAAAAACCCCAAACACAATCCCACAAAAAAAAAAACCCCAAAAAACCCCAAACAAAATACCACAAAAAAACCCCCCAAACCAAAACAACTCCAAAAACACCCCACAAAACAAAAAACCAAAACAAAACCCAAAAAAATTCAGCAGTAACTGTTTCCTGCTGCTTTTAAGAGAACAAAAGCCAAAATCTGACAGAGCAAATAACTGCCCATCTGTCATACAAGGGCTACATAAGGGACTGGAAGATGCAAAAAGGCACAGACTGTCATGAAGAGAACACAGGGCAGCAAGATGTAAAATGGCAGAGAAATGGGGATGGACCAGGTATGGCAGAGATGCAGAAAAATGTACAACTGACATGAAAAGCTACGCTAAAATACAGACTAATGAAAGAGCATGCTATGTTTGTGGCAAAAAAGGTGATAGGTTGTATAAACAAAGGTGATAGGTTTTATAAACACTCAGAAAGAGAACTTGAATTAGCAGTTATATGTTGCCAGTACTCAAAGAAAAATAACCTGGCAAACAGCTTCCTAAAACTTCCAGGTTTAAGTACAAGTTCCACTGTTACTCATAGGATGGAGGAATCTATCTTGTCATGCATCAATTCAGATGACACTGAACTCCTGTACAACCCAAAGTAAGTCCAAAAGGGATTGCTTCTTCACCTTTGACCAAAAAAGTGAGTTTCAGTGATATAATGATATTTGTTGTAATCACACAATGATTTTTAAATGGGCAATTTTAACATTTGGACTCATAAAAGGTATCAGTATTTAAAAATCTCACATGACATTCCTACCAACAATTTTAAAACAAAGTGTTCCTTCAGAAAAAATCAAATCTACTATAATGTCATAAATCCTTCCTCTATAAAATAATTTATATTTGAAGTTACAGCTCAAAAGCTTTTACAAAATGTGTCAAATTAGGTCTAGTTTAAAAAAGAGAAAAGCACATCTATTTCTTAACCATTCTATCAAATATTAAGCTATTACCAACCTAAAATTAGGCATCAGCAAGACGGATGAGTCTATACAAAAATATAATCCCATGGCAGTGTAGAGAAGTGGAAACAAACATTGCATGTCCTGCTTGCTAACCTCAGGATGCACCACGGCTGAGTGCCTAAAATGCTAAGACACTCAGGAGCAGCCAGTACTCTTAGCTTTAGGGGAGGCTTTGCTGCAGCTCCTGTAGGTGTTTAACAGATCTCTCCTCCTGCTCCCAATACGGAGATTAAGTCATTATTAACTTTTAATTTTGCTATTGGTCTCCCTAGTTAAGAACCTTGTCATTTACAAATATGCATATGGAGCTTTAAAATTCTGTTTCAAAAATATAAATAGAGGAGTCCTTAAACAATGTGAATATTGGTTAAAACCCTGAGTTCTCTGTACAGGTCCCTGAGCTTTCAAACCAATGCTACCACCATCTCTCAGACTGTAGAAGCAAGCTACATCAAGGAAAAATTTAAAATTATATAAGAGGACAAATATATCTCAGTCAATTAAACAATCTGGAATCATAACTGGAATATTTTTTGCTATATGTGATATTGGACAATTTCATTCAAAAACTTTGTGTATGTTAAGACACATGAGCTCAAATATTTGGCTCTAACTAACTGGCCTTTAAAAAACCCTATCACTTAGTTCAATCAGTATGAATTCCTGTTTCACATAAAGCTACTCCTGGAGTTTTAAAAAGTTAGTTTCCACTGTTTATAAATTTTATATACTCACATTTTTCATATTAAAGCTATAAAAAAATAGGTTTTTCTGACTTTACTTATCATACCCAACTTCACTAGAAAAACACTGCATGTCTATGTGTTGCAGGGAAAATTAAAAGGAAAAACAATAAATGAGTCCTCCACTTTCTTGTGTCACAACCCTGACAACATTCAATCAGTAGACTCCTACTCACTGCAGTGACAGCCCATCACGAACAAAAAAAACAAACGAACAAAAAGAGACCTCCAAGTGGTCTTGTTGTATTTTGTAGTACTTTCTAAAAATACTGTGACTGGAAGTATACGCAAAAAACAAACAAACAAACAAACAAAAAAAAAAAAACTGGTCAGGAGTGGACAAGTTCATTTGCAAAGAGAAAAAATTTAAAGCAAAACTTTAGAGAACATTTTGAATTTGTTCATTTTCAAGCATCAACCATAAGACAAAAGGTAGCCCTCAGATACACTACCTTTCTCTGTGCTCCCATTAATTTTAGGTATGAAGTCGTCAACTTGTATGCCTAGGATTAAGAAAGGGCATTATTTTTGTAATCAAGAAAAATGTTTTGGGCTTTGTTTCTTTATAAACACAGCATTTTGAAATGTTCCTGGCTTTTCACACCACCTCCTCACAAGTACCTAATCACACAAACCAGGCAGTTTGATGTGTGTCCTGCTAGAGATGATGTTGCTGTTTGTTCAAACGTCTAAGAGGTAATTAACGCCAAAGAATTACTGCCTATTACACACATATACGTGTGTATAATGTATATAAAATGCGTTTTAAAGCGGCTCGAAGGCGCCTCCAAGGCCCGGGCCGGAGCGGACACCCGCAGAAGCAGCGCCCTCTGCCGGCCCTGCCCCGACACGGACCAGCAGCCCAGGAGAGCTCCCTGCTGGGAAAACTGGGAATCGGAACTCTTCTGCCAGACACCGAGACTACAGGATTATCAGAACAAAAGTAACGGAACAGCAACCGCGGAAACCAGCTTGAAACAAGAAACTGATCACACCTACCTAAGCTGTTGTGTTCTTTAAGAGTTTTCTCTTGCAGGTGTTCTAACCGTACTGTAAACAGAAGTCCAAGAAAAAGGTATTTCACAGATTAAAAGAAAAACAAATAATCCAAGTTTTTTCCCCGCTATTGACTAACCTTGTAAAGCAGTCAGCCGCTCATTGGTGAAGTCATTATCAGCCTGCAAAGCTTCTATTTTTGCTTGAAGCTCTTGCTCTCTTTCTTCCATTTCATCTATTTTATGCTGCAATTCCTTTTTCTCAGCCAGTCCTTTTTGTTGGATTTCTTCTTGTCTTCCTTCTGCTACCTGCTCAAAAAGATTTTTTAAATCCCCCAAAAAATCAAAATTAACATGTGAAAGGATAGATTTTGGTTTTTATGTAACTAAATGTAATTAAGTAACTTCCTTTGCTAATCAGATTTAAAAATGAAAAAAACTGAAATCTATTACCTTTATACAAATTTCACTACAAGTAGACTGAGAAAAATCTCAAAATATCTTAAGTAATTTTTTGACTGAGGAACATAAATTTAACAGCAACAGTAAAGGGTCTTAAAACTAAGAAATGCCCAAAGTCTCCAGCATCTCAATTCAATCAAAACCCAAGAACCCTTCTGAACTGAATGTACACTGCACAGACCACCTTGACTGCAAGCCACCTCTTCTTCCTTGCTGGATCTCAAGAACCTAAGTTTTAAACTGTCTCCTCCCTCAAAACAAGGTAATAAATTTCAGTTTTGATCGTTCTGGGTACACTCATCACCATCAGTGATCAACCCATTACTGGGAAACCATGTGCCTTAAGAGCAGCAATTTAATGTTTTAATTTTGAAAGAAAAATTTCTCTGAGGTACTGAACTAGGAACCTAGGTTCCAGTTCCAGTATTTATCCAAGATAAATGCAGCAACTGTCTCAGGTCTCCAGAGACAACACCATTACCTTCCTCCTTCACAACTCCTACTTACCTAGATTAGAAACTCTTGGAGAACAGGCTTTATCATAAAGTGATTATTCTGTTCTCCAGCATAAAGGGCCTTAAATATTAATTTACTTCATTCTTAGATTTAGGTATTTCATTTCATATCAAACTTGATAGCAAGATGGAAGATTAGCCATATTACAATATGGTGGACTAGTTATGTTTGTTGTAACTGCACGAAGAGGCAACACGAAATGCAAATTTATTTCTAATTCTAGTTTTTATTCCTCTTACCTTTCAGATGTTTAGCTTGAAAGTTATTAGTCCTAATAAAAGCAGCTGGATGTAAAGTTTTATACTACACATAATTTTATACTATAATATATTTCAGTCCCAGAAATATGGTACCTTTCAAAGTGAATGAAGAGGGAAACTTTTTAGGAAGTTACTTAACTGATGCCAGCTTCAATTACACTAAAACTGAACCTAGAGAATATACAGATGATATGCATCTTTCCATTGCTAACTGTTGTTTAACAAGTTTCTTAACTTTTTTGTTAGCTGCATTAAAAACTAAACCGTGTTTATTTGTTCCATTTATCACATTTATTCTATCCCAAGTCAGATGAAATTCTGTCATTACCTTTAGCTTGTCAGAAAGATCTTTAATTTCATTTACAGCTCCATTGTACTTATTAGCTAATTCCCTTAATTCTTCCTGAGTCCTCTCATTCATTTCTTTCAGGTGTGTACATTCATCTTCTGTATTACTTAAACTCCGCTGTAAGACAGAATGATTATGCAATAAATAATAACAAAAGACAGACAATAAACTACCAAACACTGCAGATGATCTATTTTTTCCAAGCAGTATATATGCACAGGATGCCAACTAGTCTTATGAGACTTCTTGATCAAGGGAATACAGCAAATAATGATAGAGGAAAAGACAATAAAGGAAAAGAGAATCATGCGAGATGTTACAGGGGCAGAAAATCTTAAAAGAGTGTCTAACACTCTGACTGTAAAAGCTCCATTTAAAGCACACTTTGTACAAGTGGTCAAGTGTATGTTTCCATAAATGCTGCAGTTTAAACAAGGTCTTACAGCATTTTTTTTTAATGCATGTATGTCATTTTCCCTGTGTATGTCCCACACACTTCTGTAAGACAGCATCATGAATTTTGAAAGCAGAGAGAAAAGGGAAGAGCTGAAAGAATAGTTTCTCATTAATGGTTTAACAATCTTAGTCCTGTCCAATAGGAGAAATAAACACTACTTAATATCCTGCAAGTGCAGAGTACAACAGATATTGACATAACACAGCAACAAAGCAGGGATCTAAATAGCAGCATTTACAACTATTTCAGCACTTCCAGATGACCAGGAATGAAACTTCAGTACCTCCACTTCAGATAATTTTCTGACCACTTCAATTTTCTCCTGAAGGACCCGCCTCAGGGACTCTTTGGCTGTTGTCTCATAGTTGTGTTTGTCTTCCTGTAATGCTATAAGCTCTTTTCGTATACTGTCTTCTGTTTGATTCTGCATGTACAAAATAATTCAAGAACAGAATAATTACTGTTTTGCTCATTAATTAGATCGTGATAAAGCCTGTTTTATTAAAAATTTTTAGCTGTTTCTGATAGATGAGAAAATGTTATGCACGAATCAGTGATCAAAGATTCTTGACATGACTGGGTATAAATAAGCGATTTTTTCAAGTGTATGTACAGCAGCACACATTCAGGGGTCAGTTTTGATCACAGGAGAATTATGGCACTTTTTTTGGGCACTGCTAAGACAATGTCAAGCCTAGGAGACATAGAACTGGACAAACCAGGTCCCAGAGGAAAGACCTTAAACAGGACCTGCAGAAAAAGTTTTTATAATGTAGATAGTTGAGAGAAAATAGAAATAAAATAACAATTAAAATCCAAGGCAGACATAGGTGGCCTAAACAATAATCAGGGCAGCACATACTTGTAACTCTGAATACCAGATAGGACATGGGCAATGAAAACAACAGCCACTTATTGAGATGCCTTGAAATACAGAGCAGATGTACAGTTTTTGTGCTACTCATATTATCAAAGTTGCATAGGCTCCTTTTGGAAAGCTTATGCTACAAATGCTTTCCTACAACTAGCTACTTCCAAAACACTTGAAAAGAGCTGCCTTTCAGTTTTCCTAATATTTGACTTTAAGTGAACTACTTACCTTTGAACAAGCTTGTAACTGATTTCCCATAACCTCTAGTCTTGATAGCAGCCTGTCTTCGTCTATTAAAGCCTAGAAGAATAGAAGTATCACCTTAGAATTATCCCATGCTTAATGTAGTGCCAGTAGAGTTCTGCTTTAAAGATCTGAATTTTGTTGGAGTACTTACTGCTAACAGCTATTTCAAAGGTACACAACCACTAAATGTATTAAACATTGTCTTTTGCACAGTTTTAGAGAATCACCATAAACTTTTTATTATCTCTGCTGCTTTTTCCCTGCATTAACAGCTAAATTTATATGGCAGTGCACAGTTGAGTCCATAAGGAAAGGATCCTGCACATACCTGCCAACTAGTATCTGAAGCCTCTTGTGTGACAGCAAGTAGTCGCTGAAGGGTTGCCAGCTTCTGTTCCAACATTTGTTCCCGATGTAAGGCTTCCTGTGAAGGGAGCAGGGCACCAGTCAGTTCAGCTAGAACAACTCAGGGAATCAGAAACAACAGAAGAGATCCCAAAATACAATAAAAAAAGGAAATGTGAGCAGTAAACACTGTAAACTTGTTCAAAACCATAATAAGCCCACTCTATTTTATCCATCCACAAATTTATTTGGATAGCTAATTAGAAAATGCTATCCTATAATCTCAGGTTCCTAAACCATTCATTTTCATGCTAAGGACACACTGCTGTTCTTCCCAAGACTTAAAGATACTTCATCTCTTAAGTAACAAAACTGCAGACACCAAAGGACAGCTTGGCAGCTTCCATGCAATGAGCTGTTCATCCTCAAATGAGGTCACAAAAAAGAAATGCCAAGCAAGAACTACTATTTCTGTTTGATTTTTGGTTTATGACAGGAAGACAGAAGAGCATCTTCGTTAACTCCAGGATATGGAGAGAGAACAGATTGGTGAGTGAATATGTATTTGGCTTCCAAAGAAAGAGCATCTGCATGAGCTCCTTCCTGCTATGTCAGCAAATACATATAAAGATAGATATTATCTCAAAAGCCTTGATGTGAACAAATAAAAATTGCCATTATCAAACAAAACCAGGCAAAATGAATCAGTAGAACTTATACACAGTTAAACCTGGAAAGAATTTACCAGCAAAAAAGTTGATTATATCATCCTTTCTAAAGAGTTTACTTTTATCTATCAGCACACAGTTTAAACGTGCTACCATTTCGCAGTCTAACTCTTTTGTGCCATGACATCTTGGGAAAAGCACACCTATCAAACTGACACAGAAGCAGGCACAGAAAGGCTGGTGATGCCAGTGAGGAAGAAGAGCTGCCAGCACTGTCCCTTCCTTTCTAGTTTCCAGTAGACACAAGCCACAGGATAAGATTTGTGTTTTGAACAAAAATACTCATCCAAACTAAATGACCTTAAAAGAAAACTTACTTGTAGATACTGTGAAAGCTGAAACAATTCCTGAGAATACATACTGGGAGTGTTAGCAGCAACCTGAAAAAGAAGACAAGTAAGAATCAGAATGGTTTTGGATTTTTCATTAAATAGAAGTAATGTGAAATTCACTTAAATCTACGCACAAAGGTAAACTCCGGATTATCTAATAATAACATTTTGCTTCCTTTCTTGTTCTGTTATTATTTATGCTTTTTTTAATCACAGAACTTCCCGACTTGGGACTTAGGTCCCACTGTGTTTCTGCACAAGTTCTTGAACCACCACCACACTCATGAGTCAGCTTTTGGTACAGTTGAGACTGAGCTGACAATAAAGAAACAAGGGGCACAAAGGTGAAGCCATTCCACTCAATGACAAACACAAATTGTGGGCTTCCAGCTCGATCACACATATTATGGCTGCACACTTCCTGCTGGCCTATGAGTTATCATCATGTCACTTTATAAGTATCTATTTCAGAATTAAGGAATAGCTGTAGTACCTTTGTATAATAGTAAACTGTTCTTCAGTTGGAGAGAAGGGGGGGGGTTGTTCTGTGGGTTTATTTCAGCCAATCCATTTGTTTACTAATTCTTGTAGGCTTCCTACACTGAAATATTTTGTAACTGTTTTCCCACAGTTACACCTGCAGTCCCTCCTCAGGATTTCTACCCTTGCCCTGGATTCAAGTCACACATACTGTTTTGAAATCTGAACTTAAACAGTCTATAAACTCCTCAGGCTGCTGGTTTCACAAATAAGTTTCCACGGTTGCTTGATATTTTGTTCTTCATGCATAAAACTCTGATTAGAACCTACTTAAGTTTATCTTTCTTTTTAGAGACTAGAGAAATAATCAACTCCTGATGACTTTTCTCAAGGGACTATCTATTAGCAGCTTTTCTACAAGTCCCCTGCATTACCAAAGCTGAGCTTAAGAATTACATTTAACAATACTGACTCCATGACTCTACAGTGAGCAACTCTGGCTCTACAAGACAGGCAGAGAGGTTTGGTCCCAGTCTTCCTTGGGAACACGACAGTGCTTTCCAGACTGTGCAGCACAGCTCCTCCTCCATAAAAAACATGGTATAAAGAACACAGACCTCACCCAAACACCAAATCATGAGCTACTCTTGGGTCCCACAGAACATCAAGTAATAAATTATCAACAATTGTTAGTCTGTCATCCTGTACCTGGAAATTAACCATCTTAACATCAATGGATTTGTTCCAAAGCCATGTTTCAGGTGCCACAATGTAAAAAGTCAACTTACCTTCAAATATACACTGTAATACTGCATTACTTCTCTACCTTAAATGTCACCCAAAATATTAAACTAGGTAAAAATAGTCAGTGGAAAACATATCAAAATGTTACTGGACAGATTTCACCATTTCTTCATCTTTATAACAAGTCTGAAAATAGTATGTGTCTGAATAAGGCATAAACCAGCAAATTACTGAATTACCTTGTCAACAGGACTTGGTAATGGTGCATGGATAACACTAAAAAAAAAAGTGGACACAAAATACATAAATGTTGTACTTGCACATTTTCATCAAAACTAAAAATATAACACCAATACATTTTTACTATTTCTTGTTTGAACATGAAATTATATGGAAAATCTTCTATAGTAATTTACTTTTATTTATCTTCCCACAAGTAAGCAAAGATACCCTAAAGCTTCACACAAGTATTTATGGATACTAATGATAAAAGAATATTTAAATAAACAATAAACCCCACAAAACTGTTGGTAATGAAAGATGACTAAAATTATGCCATTTGTGATTAGCACTCAGTACAAACAAAATATTAAAGTTTTTGGTTTCTAGTACTCTTGGAAGATTTCCCAAAAATGGACATATACACAGAAAATGCTGTCAATATTCATCTGAGTTTCCATTAGCTTCACTTTAGTCAAGCTTATGTGCATTTAAAAGAGCCAAAATAACAATCACAAATAAAGAAAGAGGGCAGGAGAATTTGCTTATTTGCTTTCTTTTTCTCTGTATTCTTCTGTTTCTAATGCCCATTTCAGCAGAGTAAACCACAGTCAGAAAAGCCCAACGACATAAGAATTTTTTTCTTCTTTTAGAGAACTTCTTTATTCTTCAGAGTTGTCTTAATTACTAAAAACAACAAGCAAATTAGTGTTTTTTCTCATAATGCTTGCAAAAGAACCATGCACTCGCTCTGGAGGATTACAGGAAAATAAACTGCTCCCATGATGATTTTAGACACAATATCCATCAAATCCTCATCATACAGTAGATGAATTTTGGTACATGTGAATAAATATTCTTACTCTGATCGCAATCGAGCTTCCATTCCATCTGGAAGGAACAGTTTGATTGTGGAGACTATACATCCATGGGTAACTGAAAAGAAACAAATACTAAGTCATCATGATCCATTACTACTTCATTTTAAGTTCATTAAGTGCTTAATGTTACAGTAACAAAGCAAACTGTCTTAAACCCTGAGACAGGCAAAGAGGAGGAGGCATGAACACCTTCAAGCACCAGTGCCTGGGTCTGCTTTCTCAAACCTCCTCTGGAGGCAGGAAACTTCATCATTACAAACTTGAAGAGGTCATGCTGGCTACTCAGTCCTGGCTGTGCAGCAGCTCCAGTTCCAACTCTTCCACGTGCAGCAATACCTGAAACTTGTCTTTACTGTAGTAAGTTAAAAAAGTGGATATTTTTTCATAAATGAGTGAAGCAGAATGCATCTTACCTGCACCAGGTAACAGGAATGCAGAGGGACAAACAAAATAATGAGCTGCCTTTTTGACAAGATTCTGACAAGCATACCCAGGGACTTAGAAGGTAACACCTCCAATTTGTGTCACTGACACTTACTTCAAAATCTGGAACTTGCCAAGTAATTATTATTTACAAAAAAGGATGGAAAAGGAAATGCAGAGGAAGTGTGTAGGAACTACTGAGAAGTACATCCTTTTCAACACCAAAAGCAGCATCATTCAAGACAACACATTTCTATTTTGGGGTGCTTGCAGTGCACATCTACTGCATAGCCCTAGACTATGGCCTTTCATTTCAGAAGAGGTAAACTTGCTCCTTGAGGACTAAATTCAAGATTTAACTCAAGAAAGATCCTAAGAGGAAGAAATGCAATATTTGATTTTTACATCAAGTTCAAACCTTCTACACCATGTTTTGAAAAATGTTACTGATACAATTTTCAGTGCCTTTGCAAACAGTCAAATTATGTGTGTGTCTTGGTTGATTTTTTTTCCCTGTATGGTTCTATTAACTGGGAAGCAGAAATTATTTCCAGATACATGGAAAGGTAGCTGTACATTGTTCCAAAAACACTACCACAAGTGAGATACAAATGAGTGTGTGGTCACCTGTTGTGGACCACTATACCTCCAGCACCCACTAACATACAAAAACAAAGAACTGTTCTCCTTTCTCTGTCGTTAATATCAGCAAAACAGTTCAGCTGGCTTTGAAAGGAAAAAAAAAGGGCAATGGGCGTTTTAGGACACTGGTAATACTCCAGGGAAATGAGACAGGTCTTTAAGGAAGCTACCTCAATAGAATCTAAATATAGAGGAGAAATGATCCAACCAAGACAAGTTGGTTTTAACCTTTATTTAGCTAATGCTTTGGAGACGTATTCTCCTGACTAGAGCATCTTGTTTTTTCAAGCTGACCTAGTATAGTATTAAATTTACATGCCAGGGCAGAACAGATTAAACTGCAGGGTTTGGGGTCTTTATTTATAAATTTAATAAATCCAGTTTGCAAAAACATTTTAAAAATACATTAGCAATATTAGCTGTACCCTGTAATACATAGCTTTCATAATGCAAAATTCTTTCTTTTAGAGGAAATCAGTGATTTTAATAAGAAAAACATTAGGATACCTGACATTAAATGGCAACAGACAGCTTTACCTTCGGGTCACCTATCAGGTAGGTCTGCTGTAAGATTATATAATTCTGAAGTTTTTCTGTCAACAGCTAGACTGACAAAAATCTCCTAAAATCTGCAGGAGCTTTATTTGTGTCAAATTAAGATATAACGGGCATCTAGCAAAAGGTATCAAATACACAGTGACTGGGAAAAGCTACCAAGCATTTTGACAAACTCATAAAATTAAAATAGTAAGAAAGGAAACAACATCCAAACACTGCAGTCTGACCTTTAGCTATCAATCCCTGCAACTGGAAAAATAAGGAGTAACCCTGAGGTACAGCAACACAGAAAACATGTACACAGTACTGACTGCACAGAACAGCAGCAATGGTTTAAATTCAGATCTACAGTATTTCTTGTGAGGAATTAACAAGAAAAGGCAGTAAAGCAACGCCTGGTTTCCCAATGGAGCTGAAGCACCCCATGTCCCCATGGCTGACCCCCCTCTCCATCCCACTCACCTCCGGGCGCTCCGCGGGGCCGCCGCTCCCGCCCGGCCCCGGCACAGCCGGCATTGCGCAGCGCCGCCGCCAGGGAGCGCCCCAGCGCCGGCCACCGCGGCCGCCGAGCCCGCCCCGCCCCGCGCGCGCCCTCCGGAGCGGGAACGGCCGCCCCAGAGCCACGGCTCCCCCCGGAGCATCCAACTGCAGCCCCACAGCCACGGCTCCCCCCGGAACATCCAACTGCAGCCCCAGAGCCACGGCTCCCTCCCGAGCATCCAACTGCAGCCCCAGAGCCACGGCTCCCTCCACAGCATCAAACTGCCGCTCCACACCCACAGCTCTCTCCACGGAGTAAAAAAACCCTGCTCCTGCTCCATCTGCTGTTCCACCTTCAGACACAAATTTCTTGTTCCCCTCCAAAACACGGAGCTGACCCATATTTCACAGCTCCAAAACCCCTGAGACCTGTCCTAAACCCGAACAGGTTCTGCTGCGCTATAGCACAACGGGAACACAGAAACCATTTGTTTGTCTCAGTTTTTGTTTCCTAGAGAGACAATTTGCCAATGATGCTCCCGTTTTCACTCATCAATGTGGTACCCAGCCCTAAGGAGCCCCCTACACCCCTCAGGGGTCTGCACACTGCCCTGCAGCACACACTGCTGTGGGGCTCCCCACTTGCATAACCTCCCTCAAACATCCCAGGACAGAACAGATGCATGAGAGAGTCCAAACCTGACTAGAAAAAAGTGCATAAACTGCATTTGAACTAAATCATGTTGGTATTATTTGACCTTGCTTGGCAATGCTGTTGCTGCTTGCTGTGCAGGGAAGTATCACCAATTATCTTGGAATGCTCTGGCACAAGTGGGATATTAAGAAAGTGCTAAAAGAATATAAACCACACTAATACAGAAAAGCACAGTGAGATGTTAGTAGGTAAGTGCTGTATTAAGGAGGGGGAAATGGTGAGTCCCCTGTGCCTGTCAGTAATACAGCAAGTGGACAAATAAGGAAGCAGGAGGGTTGCAAACACTTCTCCAGGACCTGTTACTGACTTTGGCTCAGCAGCAGGAAACTGAGGAATTGGTGCTCATACTTGATAACCTGAAAAATGATATAAGTGAACATGCCACTATTAATGAACCAAATCCAGATCACACTTGCAAGGAAATTACTTACTAAAATACAGCCTGAACAATAAAATAAATGTATTCTAGCAATACTGGCAGAATTCAGAATTTACATGGGCAAGTACACTCATTCTGTCCTGTCATTACCTTATAATTACACACAGCAGATTGCTGAAATGTCTTGTGCAAGTAAGGCATTATGTAAATACCAGAGTGCAAAGTGCTTTTAAAGGGAATGACCAATTTAAAAACTACTTTCCTGTCTGTTTCATGACCAGATTAGATTAACAGTAACACCTAAGACTACTGAAACCAGCTGGTGAAAAACCCATGTTTATATGCATTCCAACGGCATTCATAGGTAAACACTCTGTGATGATCCAATCTTCCTTCTCTGCTTGGGGGAGCAGAGAGGGAAGAAAGCAAACTTGTATCCTCATTAGCGAGCTCAACACATTCATGAGAAACATGAGCACAGCTTCCAAGTTCAAAGGCAGAGAAAAGGACAAGGAAGGCTGCATAATCTGATCACTCATTACACAAATGCCAGGTCACCAGCATTTGTGTAATGTATCGTGCTTTGTAAAACTAATATAAAACCACAGCAAATAACTACTACTGGCAAAAATTCATGGCAAGAATTTGCTTACTATGAACTTTCTGCAAATGTTTCCATGAACTGCAATGTGCTGATAAAAGCAAGTCAAATCCAATTTCTCTTCCAACTAAATCTTAAATAAAAACTGTTTTAGTCTAAATACACTTGAAGAAATTCAGCTTCTCTTAGCAAGGACAGCATCTCATCAAATTAATAGTTCCAAGTTCATTAGATGCAGTGTATACTTTTGATCTCTTCCATGTGTACTTCTGGTATTCATAAATGTTTGCAATTACTGCACATGGAAATACTTTAAATAACTCCCAGCAATTTCAGCTAGGCATCCTGGAGTTGAATCTTTGCAACATCAGTTTTGAGAAGAGTAAAACAATGTGATAAGACCTTCACTACAATGAATCACTCAAAAATCCTACAGCTCCAAAAGCTCTTGATGACAAAATACCACCACCATCATTACTTAACAATGTTTTCTTTAAACACATTCATTAGCCTTCCTCTGATAGTTCAGATCTGAGAATTACAACCTCGTCTGGCTAAAGACAAAATTCACAAGTAACAGAGCAGGTACCATCTTTATGTTTTGTTCACTTAACGCACTTTATGAAATTCTCCTGTTGTACTGTGGTTTGGTCTGTTGGACTTTGGAGGGGGCCGGTTTGTGAGAGGTTTGCTTTGATGGATATTTTCTTTATTTGCTTGTTTTAAAAAACTTCATAATCAGCCTTCCAATTTAATATTATTCTTTCATTCTTCTCTAATACACTTCTCTTTAAGGATAAGCTCTACGAAGGTCTTGTTCAGAAAAGCAGTAACGGGGTGATGGCAGTTGACATTTTATTGCCAGATCTGTGTGCTACTGAGTAGGTAGGATTCTACAGAACATGGCCAAAAGTTCAATGCCTACAGAAAGCAGCAGACTCATCAGGGAACTTTAAAAAGTCTCAACAAAACTGATTACAGTCTGATAATCCCCATACAAACCAGTCTCCAGAAAGATAAAGAAATGGTTTCTGACGTACTACGTAATTTCAAAAGAAAAGAGATAGAGGCTGCATTTTAATTAGCACAGATACAGAGCTATTGCCATAATACAAGATCTCCTGAGCATGCATACTGGGAAGAAAACAGCAAGAAAAACAAAACAAATAAAAAGGCCATCACCTCATTTGTCAACTAGCAACCTTTTTCTATTCTCATTTTAAAGTACCTGAAGAAATCAAAATCAGCAGCCAACACAGAAGGGAACAGTGGGTATCCTGAAAAGAATTAAGTTAGCCTGTTTGAAACTTACGCTGACTACTTGATCAAGAAATTCAGGTTCATACTTCTGTCACACTATTAGCTGAAACGTTAAGGTTCAAAGGGCTTGAAAGAAAGGTAATTGCAATTATAATAATAAAATCCAAATACAAAAAGCCCAATACAGCATTACACACACATGCTTGTGTTGCATTTTTAAAATTGCTGTAGGCCAATTTAAGTGAGGCAATAGATGAAGACGTAGCCCCAGCTGAGCCTCCTTTTCCAGACCTACACTTCCCCTGCACTCAGTAAGGGAAGAAAGTAGGCCATGGAAACAACCCAGTAAACCCAGTAGTCCATCTGGGGGTGTGAGGGTAGAAATAGAGTCTGTGTTTTGAGCAGACATGTTTCTTGATCAGGTACCACATGGGGCCAGGGTTCACTGCCAGCACAAAGGAGGGAAGAAGTAACAAAAAATCAAACAAGACTGTTTTCTTACAATGGGAATGCCATTTAAAGACTGGATTGTAGTAAGATGTTCCAAATAAATATACTCAAAAAGAAACCAAAAAATGATCCATACCCTTACCTTTCCGCGTGTTCTCCGTCACATCTACACCAAACTGGATGATGTCACCTGACATAATTTCACATGGTGGGCTTTCCTCAGATCCTCTACTCAGTCTCTGACTATTAATAAAGGTACCATTACTACTTTTAGTGTCTTGAAGATAGAACTGCAAACAAACAAACAAAAACAAAAATAAAGTATTTGGGAAAAGTAAGACAAGAAATACAAGCACAAGTAAAATTTTATTTATATAAAATTTATTTCCAGAACATAACAAATGTATCAAACTCTAAACACCCTCATCAGGATGCAACACCTTCCCATCATCAAGAAGTATTGGATTTTGAGTTCACATACGATTGAATTCTAGCACATACACTATGCAAATAATTGCTACAAAGTGTGCCTGAACTGCCTGCAATAGAGGATCACACGTCATTAGCAGCAACACCTTTTGCCACATACATATAACAATTCATATTTAAGTTGGTCAACACACAAGTTCTAACTGCTCACACATTCAAGGTAACAGCATTGCGTGACAATCATGCTGCAGAAAAGGCTACTCAAGGAAAACCTCTGGCAAAAGACAGAATTCAGGAATTGCAATAAAAGACCATGGTGAAACTTAAAGAAAACCAACAGGATGCTTTTACTTCTCAGCAATACTAGTTCACATCATTAACTGAGTTTCAAGATTTCAAGTACTTTTGTAAATACCCATCTGCAGAGTTAATTAAATGTTAAAAGCAATTTATTGAATCTGAAACTGCTTTTATGATGCAAGACTTGTAGTCTAAACTTCTGCATCTGAGAAGAGGTTACAAATGAATCACCAGCAGAAGACCAGAGTGACCGGCTATGACCTGAGCAGTGACAGCACAGAAGAGGGGACCAGAATGCTACTGACAGCCAGGTGTCACTACTAGAATGAGTCAATCTCACCACTCCAAGATAACGATAGCTGCTACAGGAACCTGCTGGAATGGTAGAAATCACTGGCTTCCTGCACTCATAAAGAATCTCATCAAGTCCCAAAGCAGGCATAAGGTTGGGGAAAAAGATTATGTGTTCAGATAAATAAATGTATTTCCATCTTTTTCTTATAAAAGCAATTGACCTTTCCTTTTTCACAGCATACCCTGCAAAATTTTCCATGTTTTTAATTGTCTCTCTTATATCAGGCCTCAAAAAACCCCTGATACATAGCTCAAAACCACAGTGTCAAGGGAAAGATGGGTTTTGAATGGAGTGAGAGTAGAGCACCAGGGCTCCTCAGATCTTGTACTGGAAAATGACACCGAGTGCATGATATGGATCTTACATGGCATAACCCAGTGGCCCTAAGCACAGAGCTGGAATTCCATTGTGTCACTGGACTCACTAATCAAGGGGAATGTCAGCACAGGAAAGCTCAGGTGGTGTTTGAAATGAAAAGCAGTATGTGAAAGACTTCCCTCCCCCCAACAGATACGCCTTAGATCTTCAACTGAAGGAAAACAGTAATCTGTCATAAGCTGATAAAGATGAAGGTAAGCATACATTACGGGTAGATCAAGAAATTATGACTGCATTCACTATATTAATAATCAAACCCACTCTACTCTAAATAATACTCTCCATAATATTAAATACTATCTATTAACATAATAGTATATCATATAGCTTCTATAAGTTATATGCTTAAAAGCCAACCAAATTAATTAGCTCATTAATTTAATAGTCTGAAAGTACTGAACCCTCTCATGGTTCAGTGCAGAGGTAATTATTTCTCCCTTCCTGTTTGTTTTCAATTAGCTTTCTTCTTCATTCAAAAATTCTTCTGTTATGAAAAAGTGAGTCACAGGCAAGGAGAAACAAAACATGCTTCTGCTTATTTGCTCTTCTCCACCCTTTTCTTCTCTGTGCATATCTGCCTTTTATCCCTCCCAACGTTTTGATTAATCATTGCCCCTTGTAACCACATTTTTGCAGAATCTGCAAATGGGATTCAGACAAGATAGTAAAAGGAAATACAGGACAGTGACCACTGGAGAAGAAGTGCAACAGAGCATCAGCCATACAAAACTAGTAAAACATCGGTAGACACAACATTCAAAGTGCAAAAGGATATTTGTAAACAAATGTCAGCAGAAAATACACACTACATTTACTGATGTCCACTTAAGTGCATACTACTGAATTGTATTACATAAACTTTTGAAAAGTGATGCTCTTCAAGTCTTTTCATCCTGTTTGTAAATACACTTCTTCCTGCATCTAGTAAAGAAGCAATATAAGCCACATGTTAGTAGCTGATGCCTAAGGAGGGGAAAACACACTGCCTTCAAATCTTGCTATGAAGGATTTAGTAATCTTTAATGTAGCCATTGCTCAGGAACCCACTGAGCCAGTCCCTTTCAGGTAGAAAATTCAAATGCTACTTCCATGCTGGTTTTCACTAGTTCAAATGATCTTTCTCAAAGGTTAATCTCTCCATCCCTTTTGCATAATTACTAAAGCTATCTTCAGGAAATAAAATCAAGTGCAAGCCCTGAAACAAATGTGTCTATACATTAACTAGTACTTGTGGCAGCATACCGGTTTTTCATATGCTATTTAATTATGTGGTAAGCACAGCGGGTTCTCAGATTCCCAAACCAACACCTTTTACCCAGCAGCTGTGTAACACAGCATCTTCTGTGAACCCAGCACCACCTGTCCTCCCAGCTCCCAGCACAGCCCAAGCTCAGGCAGCAGTGCCAGCTCACAGAGCAGCGATGCCTCCTGCCCTTGCCAGCTCTCACTGCCGAGCTGTGCCACCACCTGGACTGGCTCAGGCACTTGTTTAGTTACTGCAAACCAGTTTCGAGCTGATGCAAGGTAAACAAGGAGGTGCTCAAGCCAGTGCTGACAGAAAAAATGACAGCATATACTGGCCTAATTATACTTGCTTTTATAATTCACTCTCCAGAGCGAAGTCCCAGCCCTTTTGTACCTCATATTAACAAGTCCAATGTAGAGCAGAGATGGCAGCTCATGCACATTCAAAACAACTCAGCTTTTGAGGACTGCTGAAGTATTACCACATCCTTAATTCAAGGGATAGCTGTATATATTGTGCCAGTGCTGGTTTCCCCTCCTTTCTTAAAAAATACAAGGTAACACACAAAGTATCCAAGAAACTTACGCTCCACTATCATAACACTGCAGACAAAAAAAATCCTAGCCTTTCTTCTTGAGTAATTTATTGTTTATATCCCCTCCCATCTACAAGCCATTAATAAGATCAATTAACTGCAGAGATCTTACCAGGCTGCTTCCACAAAATTTGTGAAGATTTTATTTTAAAGTAAAACTTGCAGTTCATCAGTACACACAAAATTCCCCAGTACAGTCCACCTTCCTTAGAAACTACATCATGGAAGTTTCAAAGAACTACAGATTTTTGTTTCCCTGTTTTGCAAGGAATTATGTGCTTATTTCACAAATTTAGTATTTATAGTATTTCAAGTTACTCTTCAGTTTTGCAAATGGTACAAATGTACCTCCTCTGCTCTGACCTATGGTGCACAAAAATCACATTCCTTCTTCTAGGTCAATGACTCAGAAGAGCATCAACAACCTGCTAAAACAGTTCATATCTTATTTTCACACAGTCAGATACCACTATGATTCTTCCACTATAACAAATTGCTAGTATTTTCTGATTAGAGAAATAGAAGATTCTTCCATAGTGACCCGAAACCATAATACAACAAATCTAAACACAAAATATGTTAATTCTAGCTGATACTAGGAAGTTGCAAATTGCTGTGTTCCATGATGACAGATTTTAACCTAACTTATGAAATGTAGGTTAATGTTTTCTTCAAAGTAATAAAACCAACTAGCAATAACAAACCCATTCTGTTTAATGATCACTATTGCAGCATCTTCCAGGAGGCAGGCTGAAGAGAGCTCCTTAATTAGCCTGACAAGTGAGAAAGCCATGACATGTTTTTTTTCCCAAGCCATATACAGGCCTGATACAGGATGAGACACATTTGAAGGATCTCAGAGAAGACAAAATATGGGCTCACAGATGTACAGAAAATCTTGAAAGTAGCACACTTCTTCAGTGATTTGATTATCTGGATTTAATTACAGTACAACTACAGGAAGAAACAACTGGCCAGCTTTTTAATACTTCTAATATTTGCTACTACTGTGCACAGCCATCATGTGCCATTTTAAGAACACATGACTGCTACTTCATCTAACCTAGCTTGAAACTGCAGTTCAGGGCAATTATTCTGAGAACTACAGTGAGGAAAACTGTAGGAAAACTCAGGTACTTTGTCCACAGAGATGTGAGATTCAGTATGTGAAGAGACACAACTTCTACATCAAAAAACGCAGAAAGAAGAAGAAACTATTACATATAATTAAATCTATTTCAGCCTCTTTCCATAGCTGAATTAATAATTAAGTAAATAAGTACCAAAATGTAGGCTACTGCCTTTTACACAAAGTCAAAAAGTAATATATTTTATGTATTAAATAAATTTTCACTGCCTAAACAACTAATGTAGAAAAAGATTCCCAATTTCAGAATCTCCTAGTTTACCACGCTTTTTCTCACCTCTTATTTCCTCTGTGAAAGAAGTACACACAATTCCCATGAGCTTCAGGGTCCTGTAATACCTTTGTGGCTTCAGCTTGAACCAGAAAGATTTAAATTATTTTGTCAAATTATGTACTATAACCCTTAAGGAGTTGGCAGCTTCGTTTTTGCCATGGTTACCACCACAAAGGGGCAGCAAGGCTATTAGCCAGAGCAGTTAAACCATAAAATGCTGCACTTAATGATGAAAGATTCTTCCCTGACTCACACTAAATAATCATTGAACAATTAATGCAGGCATTATAAATGCACCCCCTGAGTACTAAAGCTAATACTCAAAAGAAGGAAGTAAATAGGGATCTAGAAATTAGAATACTTGCCCTGAAGTAATACTTCACTAAGCAATAATGTAACTGAGTTCATTTACTCGTTGCCTGCTGAGAATTCTACCAGGAAACAAAACACCCTGTGCACAAGTAAAGCCAAAGCCTGTAAAACAATATATACCACGGTCAAACCTACATGGCCAATATTTGCCACATTGTGGCTAGAAATCTTTTTCTCTCATATTGTTACAAGAT